CGACGCAGGTAATTCACCGCGGTAAACAAGGCTAGTACCTCGTCTCTGATGCGACAAGACATCTCAGGAACTTTAAGTAACGCTAGTCGCACCTAAAACGCCTCACTCCCTAGTACTTCAACCAAAGGATTCCAGACCTGATCATTAATCAGGGCGGTATAGATGGTCAAAACCCAAGACCCAATTGTTCTTTTCTCTCGCCCATTGATCTTTCCCTCAATACCTCTGCCAGGATGCTCTACCAGCCCTTGATGGAAGGGCACGCCGAGTTCTTCTCTTACAAATGAGTATAATCTCAGAGAAGCATGGCCGAGATATTGTTTCGTGAGAGGTTTGATGAAGAACTCGCTCCGTGTCTGAGTGAAGGTCAAATAAGCCAAACTCTCCAAATCTCCCCGGAATGACTCTAAGAATTCAAGATCCATCTCACATTCGTCAGGATAATCCCGGAGTATTGATACTATTTCTTTGGAGAGAGCCTTACATCTATCTTCAAGATCGAAGCACGCTGAGGCATTCCACGATTTTGTGATAGTCTCATGGAGGCTCTCATAAATCCCTTCCGCGACCTGGTTTTCAACTCCACTAAGGAGCGGCTGCACTATAGAGACCAACTTGCTTCTGAGAGATTTGAGATATACCATGTGCAGCACTCGCAGGTCCAACGCCTGACAAACAGCGAAAAGATGCGCAGCGCACATTTGCATGACAACATCAGCAGCTTGAAGAGTATATCTTCCCGAGATCAGCGCAAGAGAGTTGATCGACTGGTTGTGCATCTCTGCAGACTGGACATGGGGTGTAACAGGGTTGGCGAGATATCCAAGCTCTGATAGGTAAGCAGCCATGCTGATGTCAATTCCCTTCATAGTAAAAGATAAACTGGGATCGTCGGCGACGAGATTTGGAGGAACACCTCTGTTCATGGTAGGGTTTATCAGTTCGGAGGAGAGGCTGAAGAGAAGTTTTCCAACCATTTGGAGAGCTAGGCGCGTTTTTTCCATTCCGTTGGCCACTGAGCTAGAGATGAAGTTGGCGCCAGAATAGACCTCGCCGGAATTGATATCGATAATGGGGTTATCTGAAGTGGAGTTGAGTTCCACTGTGATCTGAGATAGGACAGAGCAGACATCCTCAATTTGGGGACCTAGCCACTGTGGAGCTCCCCTCAAGGCATATCTATCCTGAGCGAGACCGGGCCTGAACTTGTCCTCCTCCTTGACGCTTTGAACGAGTGAGGATCCCTCGAGGAAGTGCAGTATAGTTGCAGAACATTGGACTTGCCCGGGATGAGGACAAACAGAAGAAATGAAGGGATGGTAGTTCTCTGCCTTTCCGAGTAAAGCCTCGCAAGACATGGCTACAAGGCCTTGAGCTAGTAACAAGATCTTGTTTGCCTCTTGTACAGCAAGGCAGCCCAATGCAGCTGAAGGAGCTGTGCCATTGACCAGTCCGAGACCCTCCTTGGGTCCGAGGGTAATTGGTTCGAGTCCAGCCAGTTCAAGGGCCTTATCGGCAGATAGAACGAATGAGGTTGTTGTACGGACGCGAATGTCGGGGTTGCCCTCTAGCATACCGGCGATATACGATAGGGGAATCAGGTCGCCAGATGCGGAGATGGACCCGCGCAGTGGAACAATAGGTGTCATGCCCTTTCGGAGTAGAAGAAGAAGGGCTTGGACAAGATCCAAACGGACGCCTGAGTGACCCCGAAGCAATGTGTTACAGCGTATCAGCATGGCGGCTCGAACCCAGGTGACGGGCATGCTGTTTAGCCCACTGCCATTCGCGTCTTCATCGGTCAAGATCCCCGCCTGGGTAAGTTGCAGCAGCGCCGATTGTAGAGCGGGGAGGTCCTTTGTGCGAGTATCAGCGCTTCCACCGAAGCCTGTATTGACACCTAACATCCAGTCAGACTAAAGCTTTGAGGCAGTGAGAGGGCAATCTACCGTATACAAAGTAACCCTTGGCGAGATATTCTTCGAGTAATACCACGCTTTTATTCATAGCGCTTGCTATATCGTCTCTCTTTGCGACATACGCATTGCAGTTGTACCTAGTACCGTTGTTAGGTCACTGTCCTGTAACACTAATGGTGACTTACTTGGCGACTGCAATAACCGAAGCGACATCAAGTTCAGATCCATCTAGAATAATAAACCCGCAGTCCTTGATACTTTGGATCTTTTTCCAGATGTCGCTGGCTTGAGAAGCATGAGTAGGCGAATGACATGAGTCCTCAGAGTTCTTGATGCCTCTAGACGCATCACGGTTCTGGGCGGAGGATGCAGTCACATGGTGACCACAGCCAGAGAGACGATCAGTGTCTCGAAGAGGCATTTCTAGACGCTTGATATTGAGTTCTGGACAATAGCGGCTTTGAGAAGAAAACATATGAGTTCAAGCTGGTGGCGATAGGGCTATTTAACCTGCCCAATTTCGGTCCCCGAATCCCGGAAGGGTCATTGGCCCCTCACGTCAGCTCTGTACCAGTGGTTTCCATAAGGCTGACTGTACGGCGATTTGATAATTAATACTTCATGGAGACACCGGCAGAATTGTAACTTGTTATCAGCGGCCGCTTCCTATAAGCTATCCCGTTTTAGACATAACAAGCATCATAGTGATACTTAGAATTCAGGCAGAATTATTAAAATGATTGAGTTTCAGGGGATTACTGGTGTTGGCAGGTTGTGTAATGCATTGGCAGTCTACATTAGCACTGGATCAAGAAAGTCTAGCCGAGACAAATCACAATTTTGACTCACTCTCGGAGATCCCGAGTACGCGGCTCTCGTTCCAAGCCTCGCTATGGCTTTTAAGAACCGTTGGGAATAAAGTTCAGGGGACTACTTGTCTCGGTAAGTCGTGTAACGCCACGGCAAACTATTTTAGCTCCGGGCTGATAGACACTAGTACACGACACCCGAATCCCGACATCGAAGATCAATTCGGCTTTCTCTCCATTACTGCTTGCCAAGGCGACTAGCCTCCAATAATTAGTCCTACTAACGAACTCTGTTATACGGTTTACATGTTTATATGTCTTGGCTTGTTGAGGTGGTTCACCACGCTAATTGCAGTTTGGTCTGGGACTTGGCAAGTTAGTTATTTATTAGTTGGCCCACCAGAACGAACCTTTTCTTCCAATCCCGTCAAGATAAAGAGTTTGATCTTCGCTCTTTGACGCGCCCTGCGAGTGCGCCCTAGAACTCAAAAGCCATGTGGAAAGTTAAACCTCCTTGGCAGATCTACATAACCACCAGCACTGGCTGGAGAACCACGAGGTCTTGTGCCAGTCTGTGATATTAGTTAACGCTCGGACTAGAGCTATGCCTTCTCATCCCTTGGTGGCTTGATGAGCATGGTACGAGATACGACCCGGGATCTCATGGAGATGCCGGATGCGTTATATCGGAGACAAGAGTTTATAAAACTCGTGCAAGTGGAGCATCTTCAGTACCTACCTCTTTACCCGCTTTCTCTTTGACGACAAGTTTTTACGAATCTCGTTCTGATACTGCTAAATATTGCCAATACTGACAAGTATGAAGTCCAACAACATGTCTATGCAAGGCGGAGGGTACTACAATGAGAACTGTACCCTGCAAGGCCTAGCCATCGACAAGGCATTATCTCTTCTTGAGCTACCAAAATACCAAGGTTCGTCAATTTCAGTGCTGTTCAACATGTCCGCTCTCTTGAGCTCCTTTTTTCATTATGTCGAAGTTTCTTTCAACCTTTCAACCATGTCACGGTTGGTCCTTGTCTGGGATGATACTTACATGTCTTGTAGGGAGTGCCATCACTCTTGCTGACTATGGTTCCTCTGAGGGCAAGAATACGTAAGTCGCTCGTTTCATCTAATTATAATTGAGATTTCAAAGCTCAACTTACTTAGGATTCGGCTTCTTGCCAATTATCTCTCCAACTTGCCCGGCCTTTCATCCGCAACTCTTGTTTTCAATGATACGCCATTCAACGACTTTTCCAGCCTTTCAAGAACCATTGACACAAACTCATCGTCACTATCACAGGATGGCAAGCTATCTATCAGTCCTCTGATGGTTCCTAAATCCTTCTTCGGACAAGTCCTACCTGATGACTTCGTCGATGCAGGGTTTTCCTTCACAGCACTTCATTGGCTGCAGCACATGCCATCCTCGTGGGAGACACTGGACCTAGCGAGATACGCTCATGAAGATTTGGTTTCTTTCTTAGCAGCTCGCCATAGGGAAATTCGACCAAACGGCACATTGACACTCTGCATTCCCTGCCATGGCGAGATCGGGGTTGACTTCGCGGTTGCGTGTCTACAGGCTAGTATTCGCAGCCTCGCAAGCACCTACCATCTCGATCCATCTTTCATAGTACGCTTGCCATTGTACTTCCGGACCATGGAAGAGATATTATCATCCATCAATGCCGAACAGGGAAAGTGGATCGTCAAATCTCATGTGGCAGTCCCAATCATGCACCCTTCATGGTCTCCAGCTGTATCAGATCAAGGTGGTGCTGATACGGCAGCCAGAGTCAGGTATGCCGCTGGCATTACTGGCTTTACAACTGCTGCATGTTCTCGGTTCTTTACGGATAGCACAGGCTCCTATCCCAAAAAGAGAGACCTTATTGAGCATGGCTTTCAATCAGTGGCCATCGCAGAGGCAACTTTCCTTGAGGACTTGTCAGCTTGCTTCAAGGACGAGTTCCTTCGCTCGTATATCACTAAAGACGTTGGCTTTACATACGCCTTTCTTCAGCTCGAAAGACAATAGTAGTGTGTTTTCAATGTCACAGGGTCTGGTCCAAGGGATGATTTGATGAAGGCATATCGTCAATGTGCAAATCAGCTAGACACAAAGCGCTCGGCGTCTTGTGTCTGTGTAAGTCGGCGATGGGGTTCAGGCCAGGATTTTGGACGAAGTATGAGACTGATTGGTGAGATGTATGTGTGTTTGGCTCTTTGCAAGTAAGCGTTGTTTTATACCTATAGCTAGTGACTAGTCTGTGTTTGCATAAACACTACTATTGATTGTTCTCAAGGCAGCCAGGAGAGGCCGGAAAGACTCATCTTCCACTACCAAGTTTGAAAAATCCCGTGTGAAGCCTTGTAGCAATTTAAAGTCTTCTTGAGTCGCATGAAATTCAGGTAAACTCATTACGCTGGAGATAAGACAGGCGTAAGCGGCCTCAATATGATAGGTACCAAACAGATAGTATAGAGTCCCGGCATACGGGCACTGCTTTAGCAGTTCGTTTCCAGCTTTGAGGACCTGTCTAGAAGCGTTCAGAGCTATGGGGAGCTGTAATATTTCCTGCGGTAACTCGGCAGTGGTAAACGATGCCTTGTGGAGCATGAAGACTATGCATGTGTAGCCAGCGATTGTTAAATCGGCAAGCATCCAGGAATGCAGCTTGTTTTCTTTTGAACTTGTTTTCCAGGTGTCCTAATAGAGTCAGCATTATACCGAGCCCACAGCCGTACTCACTCACGATATCCCAATCCTTGTAGAGGTCATCGATTTGCTGGCATAGTGCAAGGACTTGAGCCAACGACTCGCCTTCAAGACGCCCACTGATGTTCTCCAGTAGCATAAAGAATTCGGCCAGGATGAAAGTAAGACGCGACTTGAGTATGAACCGGATAGTCGGCACCTCTTGCGAGACAGGTCGCTTACAGGACTCCAGCCAGGGTAAGGACACTATCCATTGCTTCATCTGAGCCGTCATGGTGGGAGGGTCGTCGTATACTAGTCGATGAAAGAACTCGTAATGCATAAGCTCCCAGAATCCTCGACGGACTTCGTCGATGTTGTCTTGTCCAAAGCCTGATGGATAGTTCGGGCTGTCTGTGTTATGCAGATCTAGACCTATTGCGTACTTGCTGGCAAGTTGAAACAGTTGGGCACTTAATTGCGGATCTAGTGCATCTGATGCTGCTTGTGTCTGCAAGTCTTATGAGACGTAGTATAAGCGAAGAGAAAGGGGAATACCTACCAGCATAGTAGCCGCGACAAGATCTGTTGTGGATCCTACAGCCTCTCGCTGCCAATTCGGTATGGCGCGGAGACAGCAGATGTACATGCTTCTAGCATAATGTATTCCAGTGAAGTGAGCATTTTGTTCTTGATCAATCACTGGTATTGTGCACCCCATACGTAATATGTAGTAGTATACCACAAGAATAGCTGGGTCTAAGCGGATATGCGGTAGACCTATCATATCTGGCAGTAGTTCAATAACCCTGCGGTCAACGAGACTAAGGAAGATGTCAGTGGGCATCACCTCAAAGTACCCTAGTATGTGTTTAGCATGCAAGCATATCATGTGATGTCCCCGTAGGCTTACGCTGGATCCAGGTTTTGGCAAGCTCAGGTGGTACGTCGATAGTGGCTGTAACTGTCTCGACAGATAGGGCCTGGAGGTTGATGTCTTGTACTCGTCTCAGCGCTTCTTGCAAGACTGCGCGAGGACCTCGCTCAGGTAGATGGGGTGATGTTGCCGGCAAGTTCCTGGTTGTAGAATGTCTATGAGAAGCATCGGATGCTGCATGGTCTCTGGAGATGGCAAACGGTGACAACCTCGAAGACTGTGTCCCAGACTGGATATGCGTCGTTTCAAGACTGGCAGGGGTGCCACTCTGGGGCGATGTTGTGGATGCTGAGCCTGCAATCCTTTCAATACGTTCCAATCGTTGGAGAATAGCGTTCAGGGTGTCATCTGTCGCTCTGTACCCTGATCAGAACATGAAGTCACCCACCCTAAAGAAGAACCTACCCATGGCCACCGACTCTTTTAGCAACTTGTCGTACCTGGCGCTCCGGATAGATGCAATCGGTATCTAGATCAGCACACTTGCCACATGTCGGGATTTCGCGATCGCATCGGACCTAAGCATGGTCAATACTGCGTCTGCCAAGCTTCTATCCTGCGGCACGCACTTTTTTCACTTTGCATCGCGTGCACTGTACAAGAAAGAGAGTGGATAAGTGTCAGTCATCCACAGTAGCATCCTATCACGTTCATCTACCGATGCACTTACGGAGAGTGGGTTGAGACTAGGTTCGTATGACATCTTCGCCTCCGGAGTGTGAAGGATTCGAAAGTCCGGACCGAGTCAGGGTTCGAGGGGAAATGAATGGAGTGCTACGCTGGACTCGCCTAATGTCCATTTCCGGACGGGGCTTGGCAAAGTCCAGGTGGGGCTGTTCAAAGTCACTACCCTATACGCAGCACTCAAACTCGATAACGGTAAATTACAATCAAGGGAACCCCCATTCAGTTAATATAATATTATTCATGTTACTATACTACCTTGAACATATTAATTAAAAACTATAGCCTGGGCGCAATACACCTATTGCAGTAGTAATTCTGTGAAGTATATATAGCTACCCTTTATCAATTAAGCACAAGCAGCAAGCACACTATGGCAGAAACCTTGGCTGTGCCTGGCGGGAAAAAGTTTACTTGACTCTCCATGAATTCATCTCCGAGATAGTATACGGCAAAACAAGTCCAGACGCATAAGCCCGCAAGGCCCCTTACAGTCAGCATAAAGTTCGGTTCGTAATACCAATATGAGGCCCTTGTCGCGCGCAAGGCTAAACGTTCCGGAGCTTGGCCAATAGGTCCGTCCGGGCCATTTCACCAGCTGGTCCCTATGTGAACTAGGTTAGACCTTGCCGGGCCTTGGCAAAGTCCGGACCCCGCGTCGAGACCCTGGATCGATTCTGAACGGCATTCGCGTGAATCTCTTTTTTCGTATGATCCGGCAGGACATGAACTCGAATTCTCCGCTTTTAGCATATCAAATGTCACACCGAGAGAAATGATCTTTCTAGTGTCAGTATGATTCATCGCCGCTTGAAAGATCTGCCCCTGGCCCACTTCACCGGCTCGTTATATGGTGTTGTTGACACCCTCGGACTCCTTCTTTCGATCACGACGGCCAGCCTCATCTTCATAGCCCATTTTCATCGCACCTCAGAGATATACGCAGATCAACATGTCGGCACTTGAAAAATCGAAAGAAGATGACTTGGCAGCCATTCCGATTGGTGACGCCGACGGCCCACGACTTAACAGCGACAGCACAAAAAGTAGCGGAAGCACTCTCCCTGAGTATCCAGCTGGCCTCCGTCTAAGCATCATCGTCTTGGCACTGCTTCTCTGCATGTTCCTGCAGGCACTCGATATGGTAAGCGCTTCTGTTACCTTAGTCAGGACTCGTGCTGACACTTGACGAGACAATCGTTGCCACAGCTATCCCCAAGATCACCGACGAGTTTCCCGGTTTGGACCTCGTGTCCTGGTACGGCTCTGCATTCTTCATGTGCCTTGCCGCCTTCCAAACTACCTGTTAGTACCCTCGTTTCCAATAGCCGCTCTGAATCTAACAGGGGATGCATCTAGGGGGCAAGATCTACAAGTACTTTCCACTCAAGCTGGCTTACCTGGCCTCCATCCTCATCTTCGAGGTCGGCAGTCTGCTCTGCGGTTCGTCGTCCTATCAATCCTCTCTGAACTGGGTTTGTTACTGACCATGTCCTTCTACAACAGGCGCCGCGCCCAATGCGATCACCCTCATCCTCGGAAGAGCTATTGCCGGTATAGGCGCTGCTGGCATCGGTTCCGGTTCATACATCCTCGGCGCCTTTTCCGTCCCGCCCGCCAAGCGACCCTTACTTACAGCGACCCTCAGTATCTCTTACGGTGTCGCGAGCGTCATAGGTCCCCTCGTCGGTGGTGTCTTTTCTGACAAGGTGTCTTGGCGCTGGTGCTTTTACATCAACCTTCCCGCCGGTGCCATCTCCGCGATGATCATTATCTTCTTCTTCGACACGCCTGCGGCGGCAAAACCCACGTCGGCATCGTGGAAGGAGAAACTGCTTCAGATGGACCTGTTCGGAGCTTTCCTCTTGATGGGCGCCGTTATTTCTTACATGCTTGCACTGCAGTACGGGGGACAGACCAAGCCCTGGAACTCCTCGCAGGTCATTGGACTCCTTATAGGCTTTGTCGCCATCTCGGCTGTGTTCATGATCTGGGAGGTAGCCGCCGGAGAGCGGGCCGTTGTCGTTCCACGCATCATTCGCCAGCGGGTCATTTATGTCAGCTCACTGTTTGCCTTCTTTTTTGTCGGTTCCTACTTTTTGATACTGTACTTCCTGCCGCTTTATTTCCAATCTGTGGGCAATGCCTCACCTACCGAGTCCGGAGTTCGCAACCTCCCGCTGGTCCTGGCCAACATTGTCACAAGCCTCGGGGCTGGAGTAGCCATCAGTATGACTGGGTACTACGTACCGTTCTTGATCGTTTCATCTGCTCTTGGAACCATCACAGCGGGCCTCCTTTACACACTTAACGCCGAGTCCAGCTCTGGTGCTTGGATCGGGTATCAAGTACTCGCTGGGATAGCATGGGGCCTGGGAGGACAAGTCCCCGTCATGGCGGTGCAGGCTAGTGTTGCCGCGTCAGACATCTCATCGGCCACTGCAATTGTTCTTCGTGAGTATCCCGTTCGTAAAATCGCCACTCGAATCTTGTTTCTAACGCCACACAGTTTTCCAAACCATTGGCGGCTCCTTTTTCCTCGCAGCTAGTCAGTCCGCTTTCGTGAATCGGCTTTTATCCTCGCTGCCTTCCATTGAAGGCGTGGAACCAACTCGAGTCGTGGAGACGGGCGCGACACAGATTCGCTCAACCTTTGCTCCTAATGTCGTGCCAGGTATAGTTTCTGCCTATATGGTCGGTATAAAGACCGCCTTTCTTATTGCAATCGCTGGAACCAGTCTGGCGTTCGTCTTCTCTTGGGGCAGCAAGTGGGTGAGGTTAAACAGGGAAAACAAAAACGACACAGAGGAGGTCATGAGTGACGAGAAAGACCAGGCCTAAGTGAAGGTTTTTTTTTTAGGAAATAGTCAGCTATGGTTGGATTGAGTGGTTCAATAGCCATTGTAGGTATATATAGTAGTTCTAGATTCACGCTATACTTCAGGGGCCAGACCAGAAATTACTTGCATACAAACCTATAGATACCTAGACCATCGTGGAGAATCTTATAGGTAAAGAAATCTCAGGTACTGGCATATGGCATCTTAAACGCAGTGCCCTCGTGGCTCCAAAAAGTTCTAGTCAACTCTCTTATAATCTAGTTAATAGAGTTCCAGATAATAATTAAGTCCCTTGACGTGATACCAGTTATTTCAGATAGGTGATGCTTGCTTGGTAGCTCAAATCTCGACTCTCTGTCCCCCGAGGGACTGGGCCTCTATATTCCATGACCTGCCTACGGGTACGGAAGGAGCCTATGGACTGTCATCAGTACGTCAAAGCCAACTCGTAGGCCGCTTTGTCCTCCTGTACCCTCTGCCGTGTAGCCCTGTCACTGATCCGGACGGTTTACGTCCGAAGTCCGCTCGCCCACGCACGGCCGCCGGGCGCCGGACCGTCAACTGCCGCACCGCTGGATTAAAGTATTTCTAAATTGGGAAATGATACAGTATGTCGCATTTACTGTCACTATGATTCATAATGTATCAATCACCATTCAGTATACCTCAGTTAGGGTCGTGGTTGAGTTAGGGTAAAGGGGATACTTCAATCGTATTCTGCTATAAGTAAAAGCAAACAGCCTCGAATATCTCTGGCGACAAGCATAAGTGATCTTTTATTCCTATCTGTGCCTGAATGCCAATTCTGATGATTGAAGGACTATGCCTTGTAAGTGCTGTTTCTTTCTTCCCGAAGCCTCAAACCATGATGAACGATATTTTGCCGAGCTGAGATTTCTGCAACCTTGAAGACCTATTTTGAACCGACATCGTCTGACATTCCAACTTTGGCTTCTACTCTTCTTTTTCACTCTTCCTTGAGAAACTGCTGACCTAATATTTTACCGCTTGTCAGGAGCGACATCTGCTTCATTTTTAGGCTCACCGATCTGGCAGGGTTGGAGAGAGGCAACAGGCAGGAAAGGTCAAACCTGACACTCTTCGGAGACTTGACATTTCTGAGACAACAAGTAGTTGTAGAGAATGGTAGCTCTATAGTGTTTAGACTGTAATATTAGTATTACAGATCTAATAACCAAGACGTGCAGCTCGAGAGATTGTAAATGGCATAGGTCATATCATAGGTCCTTGCTTACGTGGACTAAGTCAGCAGGTCACCAGATTTATCAGAGGATAAATAAACTTATCAAAGAGCCAATTAAGTCTAAACCAACTTACCTGAGTATCTCCATAACCTAGAACAGAGATCCTGCGTTTTCCTGCCTCCCCTTGCGTGCATACTGTACGTAAGTCGGTGAGGCGGGCTGGACCAAGATGGTGGGCAGGAATTGAAGATGATTGGTGGTATGCACCTACACTGGGGTCTTTGCAAACGCGCATTGCGAAAACCAGTTACTATGCGTATTTTCTTACTCCAAATTCCAATTGTGGCGGCAAACAATGCATTGTATGCAGTTCATCGTCGAATCATCTGGAGGAAGAATGACACTGATACCTTAAATCATTGAGCTAGACCCTCGATTGGGCCGCGACTGTGTTGCCTTGTTGTTTGCGCTACAGTTCGCTCAAAGAGTGCTGAGAGTGTTGCACACTCTATTTATGAAAGAATGGCATATTGTTCAAGAATGGAGGCTCGTCTCATCAAACTCTCTCTTTTTCCTTCCTGCATCCTGTACGTTCCTTGTACCCCAAACCTCGAAGTCGCACCATGTCAATGTCAATTTACAACGAAGCTGCTGGCTATAGGCCGGAGCCAGAGCTCGATGAAGCCGTGGCTGACCTTTCATTTAGAATCATCTTCATCCATGGTCTCAGCTCCCCTTGTACTAGTGCTGCAGGAAGATATGATAACAGTGAAGCGGTGGGACTGAAGCTGATTAAATCGCCATTCGAGCTTCCGCAAACAACCGCATATACCTTCTATCACGGTGACAATCTTCTGGACAACGTGAACAACATTCCCGAAGCAGCAAAAGCACTATGCACAGCACTTATTGATCAAGGCATTTCATCCCCCTTCTTTTTATGGTGGACGTCGCCCACGAATGATTGTGATAGCTAACAGTAAAGACAGGCACGGGGATCTCATACAATTCATCTAATAATCTGGTACTCGGTTCCTATCTTGGGCCCCTGACAATCAATTAATTTATATAGAGCCGCAAAAGAACCATTATTGTTTGCCACGGCTCTGGTGGTTTTGTTGCCAAAGACGCACTTCTGAGATCGCTGGATGGGTCTGCTAACTACCAGACATTTCATCCATTGATTCTAGGTGTTATCTTCATCGGAACACCTCATTCGACCACAGATGCAAGACTACCATATCAATTGAACTTCATGCGACACAATCGAACTCATACTTCACAAGGCATCAGCATGGAGACAGTTGCGTCAGTTAAAAACCTCCTTCGAAATTTCAATAGTATCCTTTGGTCTCGCCTTGGATTCAGGCCTATTTCATTCTTCGAAGAGCTGAATTCACCTGGAGCTCCTGATATGTTCGGCCCTGTAAGTTTACTCTTGGCTGTGCAATTTTCATACTGACTGTGCGCGTTGAATCAGATTGTCAACTCTGATGATGTTCGTGTTGAGGGTCAGAAGCAGATTGGTCTTCACGCTGACCACTGGGTATGTGTTTCAAGTTCGTTTAGTTTCCGTTGGTGGCTCATCTTTTTCCAGAACACTTGGAAATTCTCCGACCCTCTTAGCTCTACATATAGAGCCGTATCTACGGTGATACATAGCTTTTATCATAGTCCTGAAACCATGGAATCCGAGACCCCTTTCCAACAAATGGACCCTGATACGTCTGGTAGGTTTCTGTCTTTACTTAAATAGTTTCTTGTCTTTCCTCAAAGCTTGCTCACCATGCTCAGGACTCCTTCGATCTCTCCATGTCAACAACACTGAGTTCCTCTCGGGAGCAATGAAAGGGACTTGTTCCTGGATTTTTGAGAATCATACCTTTGAATCTTGGCTTGAACAACCGTCAGGTCTTTTGTGGGTAAAAGGTAAGCCAGGAAGTGGCAAGTCAACACTTTTGCGATACATACATCAGACCCTGACGTTCCGAAAACCGACACCCCTCCTCTTTTTTCAATTCAACTACTCTAGCCACACTTCTACAAACGCCATGCTTCGTTCTCTCATCTTTCAACTGCTCGCCACAAGCCCTCGTTATCAACTTTTGGAAATGCGGGATACATACGCTATAAGAACAGAAATACACGGGGATTATGGTGCTAATTGGCAGTGGGGTGACGGCGAGCTGCTCTCATATCTCCAGGATTCTTTCTTACGGGCTACTCATGATGACTCGCATATTGTGCTTATTATCGATGCCTTGGACGAGGCTACCGAGGAGCTTTCGGTCAGCTCAGTCATTCTCGATATTCTTAGGATCCCATCCATCCGGATATGTGCTTCATCACGATCAAGCCCCAGGCTCCCTGGCCTCGACGCCCATACCATAATTCTGGAGGATCTCAACACCGCCGACATCATCTACTACGCCAAATCGAGAGTGTTGTCAGCCGAACGAAATATTTCCAGTGTACAGGGAGACTTAATACAGAGCTTAATTGAGGCGTCAGGTGGTATGTTCTTATACATTGATCTAGTGCTTTCAAATCTCGAAATATGGCTCGATCAGCCGGAAGGTCGACCCAGCCGCATCGATTTCCCTAGAGGCCTTGTGGATCTATATTCTTTAATCCTCGCCGACATTGAGTCCAGCCAGAAGAGTCGAGATATCTTTCAGCATACCTTCCGATGGGTCGCTTTTGCGACACGTCCTTTGACTGTTCCTGAGCTCACCAACGCTTTGGCATTCGAAAAGGTCCAAGGGTATAAGGCTTGCACTCACAGCCGCCCAATCCGGAGAGGAAGACCAAGGGAATATGGGGTCTTCTGCAACTGCGCTCGTAACATCACTTCCCTATGTAGAGGGTTGATTTCGGTGCAATCCCCCCTTACTTCCCCGAGACAGCCTGTGGTCCGTTTCACTCACCACAGCGTTTCTCAGTTCTTGATGTCATATGGATCATTGGCTTTGCAAACTTACAATTTCTCACCCGAAGGACACAAAGCTCTTGCATGGTCCTGCTGCCAGATAATCATTTCAGAAACCCGTTCTCGCCGTATAGGCTACACAACCTTGGTCTCTGATACCTGGGAAATCTCTTTCTACGCTTTGGAGAACTGGAGCTCACACCTAAGGAAGGCACTGAAGCCAGATTCATCCAGCTTAGGCTTCTTATCAGAGCTTTCTCGTGACGCTTTCTTCGAGAGTTTTCTTGATTTAAATGAGAGTATTGCTCTCAATTATAAAGATTGGCCTCTTTTGACACACAAGCATACCATTGATAGGTCTTGGCCAGCACAGCAGTTGAAGGGATCGAGTCCGCTACATTTAATATGTGTTATAGGCCACGTTGACTTATGTGACCGATACATTTCATTGGGCGAGAGTTACAACGACCGAGACTGCTTATATGGCATAACACCGCTTGGATGGGCTGCAGCATATGGCCATGTTGAAGTCGTAGATGCTCTTCTCGACCACGGAGCCACAGTTGAATACACTTCGAACGGCACCTCACCACTAGATCTGGCCGCCCGTTGCGGTAACAAGAAGGTAGTAGAACTGCTTCTGCGCAAAGGGTCAAATACGAAGCAACTCCCTGTCGCCACACAGCCAGCTTTATCTCTGGCAGCATCTTTGGGTAGAGCTTCAATCGTCGATGTCTTGATTTCCTATGGAGCCAACGCTCTAACAGCGGACGAATTTGGTTGGAGTCCACTTCAACATGCGATCGCAGCCGGCAAAAAGGCAACTCTCGCGCGACTTCTCTCCACAATACCGAAGGCATCCTTTGAGAGGCTTAGAGACCTCCCACCTCGCAACCTTCCTGGCTGGGTACAACGGGTTCTGTTAGGATTCGTACTTGGACTTTGTTGTCGTGGGTCTGGCAGTTGTTCATCTTCTTCAAACACTGGCCCAATCGACTCTGGAAAATCAGGAAAACGGGGCCGCCAGGGTTCAAAGAAACGCGGTCGTGACACAACTGAGGACATGGACGAAAGTGATCAGCAGAGCATGGCCCCTCCACCACAAAAGCAATCCCGGCATACTTTCGAACTACGGTTTGCATGCCCATATAACAAAAGATGCCCCAACCGGTTTGGAGGTGCTTGCTCCAATTTTGGGTTCCCAGATATGCACCGTCTGAAGTAAGTAAAGGAATGAAAACATCACAGCACACACAGACTTTTTTTTACTCACACAGTGATAGAGAACATCTGTTTAGGCGGCATTTCTTAGGATGCGACAAAAAGACTCGATGCGGGAGGTGCAAGTCAATCCTTCCAGAGAGTGAAATCCAGGATCACCTTATTTTGACAGTGGCTTGTGAGCCCTTGAGAGTTGCTATGAACTATGAGGATGGTTTCGACACGAATCAAAGCGACACATTAAAATCTCTCAAGCCCAAGCAGTTCGAGACGCCAGTTCACCACTGGGAGAAGACATTCAATACAGTATTTCCTGATTGGGTAACGGACTTACCAAGTCCCTGTAAGTGGCTCAGTATGCTTATGCTTTGATTCTCTCACTGACAAGACCAAGATCATGAGACAACCGAGACCGAGTGTCGTATCAAGGTTGCTGCCAGGCTTCGTAGTGAAGAGTTTAGACAGGAGGTCTGGAGAAACCCTAGTAATATGGGGAGGGAGGTTTTCGAGCAACTGGCTAACCTTCTCGATCCCTGGCCAAGAGCATCAACGAGGCCTGGCAACCAGCCACCGACCTTTCCTGGGGAGCTACCAATACGACAAGGCGCAATACAGGAGCTTGTTTCAACAGAATTGAACCCATCAATCGAGGTTGCCTTGCCCATGGAGCCACAAAGGGGGACTGCTTCTTTAGAAGCCCTTGGAGCAGCTCCTGTGCTCAACTCATCAGCTCAGATCTATCGTCCAATTCCACCGCACTTTTTATTCCCCCAACAGGTTTCCGATACTCTGTCCGTTTCTTTGTTCAGTGGGACTGGTTCGCTCAACAGCTTTGGTCCCGGCCAGGAATCGATGTACGGTGACACGGATGCTAATGATGCTTCTATGAGCTCGTGGGACTGCTCTTTCGCCAACGCCCAGATGGGACAAACTTCAAATGACCCTATAGAGTTCACTTTCCACGCCCCGACTCCAGCCAGCATTCCCCACTCGTCAAGATCCGAAAATCAGCTGAACCGCAACCTGGACATATCCACTTCAGCCAACGCACAGCCAGCAGAATATGAAGATGCCACTAACACATTCTCGGCTCCTTCTAGAAGGGCTGACTGAAGATGAAATGGGAGTTTATTATATGGACTTCGCATTGTACGCAAAGAGGATTGCAGTGGTGACTAGACTACGAAGGTCATGTTTAATGCGTACCTATTAATGTATAGCACAACGATAATATGTAACCAATTCTCAAAGGGTAATTAGATAATATCCTTCAGCTTAGCAATACCTACCAAGATGCTTTTTCTATTTCATAATATTGTTCTAATTTTGCCCCGAGCTAGGCTTATGACGGAACATTGCGTGTTTCTCCCTCATTGGTGTAAGTGACCGGGGGGTTGAAAACAAGGCTTCGCCCATCTGCTTGTCTAGCTTAGATGGATATTCAGTGGTCTATATGCCACCAATTATGTGAGGCGCAGTTCATTTCACCGACAAGGCATTTTTCTGTCATATTCTGCTCTCACAACTTTCACTATCACCTCGCGTTTTAGAACTTACATCTCCATTAATCTATCTCTCGTCACCTTTTGCTTGCAGACCTAAAGCACCAACCGCAAAATGGCTGAGCCAGTTGGCATAACTGGTACAGCTGTTAGAATAGTTTCCTTTGGCCTTCAACTATATACCGGCATCTCAGAATACCTCGATGCCGTCAAAGGTCGCGACGAAGACCTGCAGTCCGCGAAGCAATATGCGAAGATGCTGCGTGATAATCTTGTCCTAATCGAAGTGGCCATTAGCGCGATCGGCAGCGAATATACGATGGCTAAATATGCGATCGAACAAGGCAAATCCTCTTGCGAAATTGAGCTCAAGGCTTTAGAGGCGCTGCTCCAGGAATTGAAAAAACCCTTACCAGATCCTGCTAATCGCACTGAACAAGAACTCTTTTCGCAAATTCAGCTACCCTTTCAAGAGGAAGGACATTTCCAGGCTTCAGGACAGATTAACCTTAACTAACAATGCTCTCCATACGGTCGCGTTGGCCTTGCAGTTGTAAGTCAACGTCCTTTAGTAGCGACTTATAGTTAAATTATTCCTTCACCTAGGGCCATTTCCAACAATACCTTGACCACCATTGTTAATCTACAAAGCACTGCAAATGCGATGCACCAAACAACAGAGGACACTGCGAGGGGTATGGCAGAACAGGCTACAGCCCTGAAGCAGGCGCGCGAGAGCCTGACACAGTCCCGCCAACAGATTCAGCTTATCTCTCAACGCAGGCCGCCAGCTCTTGACCCACGTATTGATGAGATTCTTACACATTTGCGTAGCGCCGAGCTCGCGGTCTAAGGTTACCCAGCTTCTGCAGTGCCCACAAGATCTACGACGACTTTGCGATGCTATTATTGATCTACGTCAAAGCTCAAAGGCCAATCCTACAACACTGCCGTCTCATTCGAAGGGAGCGACGACTTGTAGAGCCCTTACGGATTACCAGTGCTGTGCTTGCGCGACGCGACAAGATGTTCACCGCCACGGACGCCGCCTGGGACTTCTGTTCTATGAAACAGAGGGGTCAATTACTGTGGGCGATCGCCAGTTCATGTTGCTGTCCAAAGCGAGAGCCTTGGCATTTTATCAGCGGTGGTGCTGGCAGCTAATGCCGACATACTCAACACTGCAGACAACGAGGTTGAGTGCCCAGTTGATATGGCGTCCCCCGTACCATGGCCCTTTTATGACTCTTTACATGAAAATGGTAAGCCCTGCACTCAATCCATGATGTTGGACATTCTTCTCAAGTCGAAGACAATGCTTCTGAACAGCTTTATGGGTGAGCGGTTTAACGTTACATGCCAGCATACGCAAGGAGTTCCTCTTGATCATCTCGCACAAAGGAGGAGAGACCTAGAACTTCTAGCCACCTCCGAGCTTAGCTCTGTTGAAATGAGGGTCTTGGCTTCTGTAATGGGCGAATGTTGGACTGCAACACTGCAAAGGTGCAGTATCATCTCGCACGGCACTGTCGGATCCCAGTTGAACTCCTATTTTACAGAGAGGAACACTTTTCCAGACAACTCGACCACTCTAGATCTATATATCAATATATATTTGATCCAGATGTTGCTGAGTATGCAATGTCATTGGGGTTTGACGCTGGAACAAGCCTCTCCGAGGTCTTTTCCTACCTGATACATGACATAGCTTCGAATGGTAGTTCAGGGAACCTCGGTATTTCTTTTGGCTACGAATGGTTTCCAATGTATGTCAGCCGGATGGTGTATCACGGTGCAGACATTACAACGGCTATCACAATGGGCCTGATCCCTGGAGCTGTTCCAAAATCGACGTGGGCACATTATATGGCGCAAGGGTTTCTGAGCTGTTAGGTTTTCTAAATTATTCTTAAGAAATATATTAAAGGTACTTTCTATTAGGGATTATAAAATACCTATAACATTCTGTTCAAATAATACTTAAACCCCTGCTATCTGTAGCAGCTGTTTAATAGCATCTGCTGTCCCTTGACCATCCTCTAGCGTCATCATATGCCCCGTGTTCAATTTATAACATTGAGGCCTCGTTCCACTGGCCGCAATCAAGCCGACCAGCTCATCAGTCACACCCAACGGCGATATGGTATCATGAACCCCCCCAATCACACATGTGGGGCATCTAATGCGCGAGTAGTCAGGATCAGCGTGGGAGTCGTCACAGAGGGCTTCACACATCTGCGCGTAGCCCTCGGGATTTGTGGTTCCCGTCATAGCCCGCAAAACAACGCGCGACAAAGCAGGGCTTGATGTCGGAATGTTATGTGCCACGCGGCTATCGAGAAATCCACTCGCCGTGATGCCTCTGGCCCTGACTTCTTGCGCAAGGGCCAAAGTCGCAGTTCTTACACTGGGCTGGTTTGCCCTTGTGCGGCCCGCGCCCATGACGGCTAGGGCGCTTACACGGTGGGGCTCCTCTGCTGCTAAGATCATGCTGGCAATGCCACCAGCACTGTGCCCGACGAGAACGGCCTTGTCGCACCCAACAAAGGCCATTGTGCCCCTGATGATGTTGGCCAACGATGCTACCGTGACCTTCCTATCAGATCTGGACAGGCTACTGTGGCCATGCCCGGGCCAGTCGATCCGCACCGTGGTGTAGCGGCTAGATAACACATCAACGAGTGTTTGGAAAACGTTGGAGTTGGCACCCAAGCCATGGGTCATGATAATGAAAGGCCCATGGCCGTCGATTTCGATGAAAATATTGAAGGTCTCAACCGAAATAGACACTGATTCTTTTCGCATGGCGAGCTGAGGGACTGGCATCGTCGAAAGTCAAAGACAAAAGAGAAATGGAAAAAGGGCGAGGAACAGATTAATTGCGACTTGAAAAAATGCCCTCGATCCGATGCCTCGTGATTTATTGAAGCCATGGAGCATCGAAACGGCTGGCTCCATACATATCCCGGAGCCGGCCGCCAACTTCTCACTGCCGATCATCCCGCACTCGGCCGCGGCCGCGGACTTCTGGTCTATCGGTGACTATTTTACTGGTTGAATGAGTGCTAAAGGCAGGCAACACCTCAATTTGCCTCGACCTTAATCAACCAAAGCTACTCTGCATCTTCGTAAAGGACACTACCCCGCATAAAAAGTTCACATACAGCAACTCAAGGGAGTCTGCCTATCGCTAATTAGACTTCTACCAATATGAGCGCAATCCCCAATATCGACTTCCAGGGTGAGTTTTCCAACGGGAAAGTTAATGCTTCCAGCTAATGATTGCGCAATGTAGCCTGGTTTCAGAACGATCAGTCTCAAAAGCTTGATTTGGTCGATAAACTCCGCCGAGCTTGCGAGACACATGGCTTCTTCCAGTTGACGAATCACGGAATCCCTCAAGCCCTCCTTGATGCGGCTTTGGTTCAGAGCAAAGCGTTTTTCGACCTCCCCATCGAGATCAAGGAGAAGTACGACAAGAGTAAGACTCGGTGCAAATTACAGGTGCGTCCTGTATGCTGACACCTGGTAGATATTGGCAGATATAACCGTGGTTACGAGCGCTTCAGGGCTCAGAACTTTGAGAAGCGAACTGAAGGCGACTTGAAAGAAGGATATTACTTTGGCCTGGATATTCCAGAGCACCACCCCGCTGTCGTGGCCAAGAGTTTCAATCTAGGTCCGAACAAGTACCCAGAGGATGTAGAGGATGCCGCTGGATTTCGGGCCATAGTGGACAGCTACATCGATGCTATGCTGGAGCTTGCCAAAAATATTGTCCGCGCCATCAGTATGACCCTTGGTTTGCCTGACGACTGGGTGTCGGACTTCTTCGAAACCCCAATATCGACACTGCGGTTGCTACATTATCCGCCCCAGGCCTCTGATGCGTCGGAGTATGAGAGAGGTTGGTCGCCGGTCACTAATCTCTCCTGGAACACCAATCTTGCTAACTTGTACATGGCAGGCATTGGTGCCCACACGGACTTTGGCGCTATTACTATCCTGCTCCAAGACATGGTTGGTGGCCTACAAGTCTGGGACCGTCAAAACGCTCGCTGGGCGGACGTGGTCCCGGAACGGGGGGCGCTTGTCGTGAACCTAGGCAATATGATGATGCGCTGGACCAATGACGCTTATCTCTCCAACCTCCATCGAGTCATCAACAAGACGGGCCAGGAGCGTTATAGCATTCCTTTCTTCTTCTCTGGGAACCCCGATTTCCTTGTGCAATGTCTGGAAGGGAAGACGAAAGCCAAATACCCGCCTATCAAGGTAGGTGATTGGATCGCTGGACGATACGCAGACACATATGGAGATGGGAAGGTCGAGACTGCACAGGATTTGTCTGTGGAGCTAGATGCAGGATTGTTGTAAATAATGTGGACGCACTTGATGTGGTAGCGGCTATGAAGCAAGTCTCACTCCATCATGACATTTCCATTTTCCAAGTGACAAGCCCTAGTGTATCGTAACAGCAGAGCGCGTATTATAAAGCATTACAATAACACGAACAAGTTCAAGAAGTGTACTGTAAATATGAAATAGGCATCCTACTTCAACCGACATGATCTTGCTACAGTGGACTGTCTTTGTTTTATGTCTACGCCAAGATACTGGCATATCATATGTCACCACGCCTTCGTTGTCAGCCATTGAAACAATCTGGTTGACTATCACATATCTTTCAGGGTCATTAGATAAACTACTCTTAATGTCTGAAGCAGGTCTCAAGCCCATGATAAGACAGGGAATGGAACGATGAGTAGCGCGTTTTCCCTCATAGGGAAACATTGGCTTCTCGAAGTTTAATTAACAGCATGGTTCAATTAGCAAGAGCTTGGACTGACTCCGTCACGGCTCAAATACTACTTTCTTCGTCTCATCAACTGCGTTTGCCATTTTCTCCCCGCTCCTCCTCTGTTGAAGCACAATCCATGGCATAGTTGCCCATATCCGCCGTGGACTCTCGGTCCGGTAACAGCTTGAACAATGCCCAATAAAGAAGAAGTGGGCCAAAAGTATTGACGAACCAGTTGAGTTGGTAAATCCTCTGGAAACCTAATGGGATAGAGTTGGTCGGGCTGATTTGCCACACAATCCCCGGAAGCGATATCGCGAGAAACAGGACCTGCGTAATAGCAGCACGCCAGTTGACTCCACCAATGTAGCGATAGCGACCGCGGGAGTCGTATAAGCCAGGAATGTCGAGTATACGTCGCCTGATCATCCAGTAGTCCGCAATCATGATGCTTACAATCGCGCAAACAACACAGCCGTAGCCATTCATGAAGGTGAGGAACTGACCTGCTGTGCTCACAAGCTTCCAGGGAACGACAGCCCAGGTGCCAAACAAGAGACAAAGAAGAGACCCTCTTCGGACGTTGATATAGGCTGGCCAAATATTCATCAGATCGTGGCCAAAAGGGATACCGTTAGCGGAGAGGTTGGTGGAGATCTGAGCCAGAATCCATAGACATCCAGCGCAGAAGGCGAGAAAGCGGCCGCCCGATCCTGTCCAGAGAGGAAGCATCTCCACGGGGCTCCAGATGTCCTTGTCATAGAGGGTTCTACCTGCACCGACTGTGGCGATTCCGAGAATAGCATATAAAATTCTGACGATGGGAATAGTCGGGATTTGAGACCAAGGTGCATTTCTATAGGAATTAGAGTTTTGAATATATTATCTGGTGGACAAGGACGTACCTAGACTTGCTCATTCTCGTAAAATCTGACATGTTGATGGCGCAGCTCATCCAGGAATTCGTGGTTGCACAGAACGTCGCCAACCACAACCACGCGCGAGTTGAGCCAGACACACGCGCCTGCTGATTGAAGATCCCCTGTAGATCCCCTGTAGATCCCCGGCCTTGAGACAGATCCAAAGCACCATGGCAACAGATACGGGCACAAGAAATATCGCTTTCCAGAGGAAAAGGCGCCTTGGTTGTATTCGGTCAGTCTACGGCAAAAGGTGAATGGGGAAATACATACCTTAGGTGGATGAAAGGAATGCAAAAGAAGGGGATCTGGATTACAAAGAGCAAAAAGTAGGATGTCATTTGTTGAGACGTGACCCCAGCCCCCGCGGCAGTTTATTCTCGATGGAGCGGTACTCGGGCCATACGGCAGCGAAAGTCTGCCGCAAAAATATTAGACACACGGGATAAAAGTTGAAACGTTGAACCGAAACATGCTGACCTCAGTGACGGCGACAGAGCCAAACCAGCAGTTAACACCGAACCAGATAATGGCAAGAATAGACCTTGACACGACGCAAAAATAGCCAAAGTAGTAGCCATAGCTAGATCTAATAGCTATGGGGAATGGAATGTGATAATCTGCACCAGGAGCGCCATTCAGTACTATATTGCGCCGTCAGTGTTTCTGTATATCTCTCCCGAGGCTATCGGTCTCACCAGTTGGCAGAGCGTTAAGTAAGCCCGAGAGGAGAGCAATGACAACTGCGTCGCTTGTACTTAGGCCCACCAGCATGGCCGAGGAAGCAATCTGCCATGTAGTTACGTTGATGAGGTCAGACATCCAGTAGGTAGCAAAGTCCCACGCTGTCCAGGTGCGTTGTTCCTCGGGCACTGGATCTTGGTCTGCCGCCGTCTGGTCAGTCCTATACTTGCAAAGTAATTAGAAATGTATATGTATATAGTTTTCTCACCTCCATTTGATCCGAGGGGAGATGAGGAAAAACTGGACGTTGGGCCAGCAAGCCGCCATGACCGTGGATTCGCCATCTGTAATAAAGCTTTTCCGTTTCGCGGATAGTTCATAGTCCGCTGTATTAGCGCCATGATGTCGAGAGTATCAAGACTTTTCAGCGTATCCTGTTGGAGAAAAAAGAAGTTCGATGATGGCCTTTGATCGTGACTGATGTTTGTGTATGTTTGATATATATTAGGGTTTCCTGGCCTGCCTAGATGCCCTGCTTTGGGACATACCAAATAATATAAAGAATCGACGTATGATCTAGGCCTAACAAGTCGTACAGCCGGATAAAATACAAAGTTATGGAAGATCTCTAGCTGAAGACAAGATTTCGTCCAACGAGCCTAAGAATCCGAGCCTTTTCGTCCTCGACTTGATTATTCTTGAAGCCGCGGACGAGATAAGGAGAAGTTCGCGGACGAGATAAGAGGACACCCGAAGCCCAAACTACGGCAAGATAAGATAAGGCGATCTGCGTTGGAATCCTCTTTCCCCACAAACTATCTTCGTTTAGGACCGCCCGTGGAGAAAGCCATAATCGGGGTCTTGGGAAGATGCGAATTAAGATATATTGCAGCTAGAGTCGATTCACATCTTTGAACACAATTTGGGAAGCATCTTGTTTGTAATCATATCGGCGAGTATCCAGGAACCCCCCAGGTCAATATGTCCACTCACCAACTCAACTTCCCCATCTTGGATTTCTCCAAGTTTGGGCACGACTTCAACTCGTTTGCCGACGAGCTATTCAAAGCTAGCGCAGAATGGGGCTTCTTCATTCTCACCGAGCATGGGGTGCAAGGAGTTGACCGCATGTTTGAATTGGTATGCCGCACCTATCAACTCCTGAAATCTAATGGACTATCTGAGACTTCCCTCTAGTCTCGTCAATTTTTCGACTTACCTCTCGATGTTAAGGCTGAGAAACCCATGGATAGCGAGGCTATAGGTTTTGATGGGGATAGATTGACCAGGTACGTGAAGCTGGGTCGCGGGATCCGGGGAACGTTGTCGATTAACTTGCGTGAAGCTTCGCCGCATCCGAGGGGTTCAGCTTCGGTAAACCAGCTGGGGGCTTGCTCACAAGCAGCAACTTACCAGCATGGTGGGACCTAACAAAGCGTAGCGAGATCGAGGCGTTCAAGGCCGAATGTGAAATTTTGAGCCGCTCCGTGCTCTCCTGCTTCGCTTTCAAGATGGGTTTGGATAAGAACTATTTCAAAAATAACCATACATCCGACCCCGGAAACACGCTCAAGATGATCAAATACCCACGGTTTACCGAGCAGCCGTCTGAGGTACCACGACTGTCTGAACACACCGATTGGGGAAGCATCACCTTTGTCTTTACCAGTCAGCCGGGTCTAGAGGTGCGGGACCCATCGAACCGATGGTACGACGTTCCACTGGTGCCGGGAGGGATCATTGTAAACATTGCCGATGCACTGTCACTTTGGACAAATCAGAGCCTGAAATCAACGATGCACAGGATCAGCTGGGCCAACTTAGACATCAACCAGGACCGATACAGTATCGCCTATTTTACCAATCCTGATTACGGTACGTTTACCACCTTCTGTGAAAAAGAGCCGTGACTGAAATACATAAGATGCCTTACTGTCGCTCTGTGACGAGGAAGACGAAGAGCCTGCGCTGTCATTCCGAGACTACTACAAAGTCCGTCTAGGGCTCACCTTTGGTTCCATCAGGAACGGATCGGAGCTGGCGTCTCTCGATCCTGCCGTTGTGAGAAGGATAGAGAAGCTTCAGGTAGCCAATTCGGGGAAACTCATATCGCACAGGATTGAAAGTAGCTAGTTAAAGTTAGGCATTAATTTAGTTCCCATGCTCTTCTATTGTCAACGCTCCCAGGGAAAGTTGAAATCCGCGTCTGGAATCGACTCAGGATACAAGAACTCGTCTGCCCCTGATACGCGTTGCACAATCTCGTCGATGTCGAGATATACGTCCGACCGCTCCCTAGCGCTCTCGTCTAGATCGAGTAGCGCATCTATCATCCGTCTTCCTCGTCGAGCGATAGAGCTCGTGGTCTCCATACCATGGATCATCGCACGCCCTACTTCCGCAAGCTGACGCATTTTCGCTCCATCATAGAGGAGTACGTTTTCGGAGCGAAAGATGGAAGCAAATATCAGGAAAACACAGCATGTAATGAGATGTGTTACGACAGTCCACATCCTGCGAGCTATGTTTGCTAGCTTGTCATCGCCCCAGCTCTGAGCATCAAGGATGCACATTTCTGCCACGGAAATGCACGAGACCTGGAAAAAGATGCATGGTTAGCCTTATTCAAACCGTCGGTAATACTCTGACTCGCCTGTGTGAAGGCGAACCTTGCATCTCGGAAGCCTTCGAGCTGAAAATGTCGATGTACCGTCAAGATCTACCGCAATATTGTTAGCCACTCGCGGGGTACAGTATCTTTCTTCCCTTTCTCTCTTTCTTTTTTAACATTGGATACTGCGAGTATGAAATTTGCATACCTTGTGAGCCATGGACAACAGCAAGATTGAAGCTTGCTGTTTCAGCCCGGGAGATGACAACTGCGATTCACAGTTTCGCCCAACCTTGAAAAAGTTCGGCGTGTTGGAGTAGACCATTTTCAGTTCCTTATCTGCCCAGATGACTTGCTCATGCAATTTGGCCATGCGCTCGGGACTTGATCCAGGGTGACCGACCTCGCACATGCGGTTCTGATGCTTCCAGATGATGATGGCCGCTAGATGTCGTCGTTAGATTGACATCATGTCGCCCGAAATATAACGGGAAAGAAAAAAAAAAGAAAGAAAGAAAAAGACGGGACCAAAAGAAATCATGTAGACACATACCTAGGTTCAGGACATGGGAGGAGCTGTTCTGCGTGTAAACGTTCGGAGGCTGAATCACCAAATCCCCAGCGCTGACCATTAAATGCGCTTCATCGTGGCAATTGATCGGCATGGGCGTGTTGAACTGCGTGGCGTGGATCAAGTACGTGTTCTGAAATGGTATTTGTAGCCAGTCCTGACGGACAAGGAACCACCAGACTCGTTTCTTGACCTCGCGTTCGATAAGGGCTTTCGCGGCCGTCGCTTTGTCCATGCCTTCAGTCATGTCGGGCCGGTCTGCGCCGATGCGATGAACATTCAGGCACTGACAGATCTTGATGGCGGTGCCAATGAGGACAGAGGCTAGGTCGGACTGATCCAAGTTGTGAGAGACCTGAAGCAGGATGCAAATTGTCTGGGCCGCGTAGATAGTGTGCTTAGCCATGAATTCACTTGTGTGAAGACATTGCATACTCCTGTCATGTAGGGTGAGAGCACAGCTCAAGGCTTCTAACAAACAAAACTGGTGAGTGATTTGAGAAACGCATTGTCTATGGCGGAACCGACCTGAAGTAGACATGCCAAATGTGGACAAAGCCTCTCCTGCTCCATGATAGAGTGTTGACTGCGAGACGAAGCCATAGATGGCCCATCAGTTAGCCCAACTTCCAAAACGAAGGGTTTAAGGTACAAATCAAGCGAGGAGACACACCGAGAGAACTGCGTAGTACAGAGCCATCCATGCTGGTTTCGGCTGAGACAAACCCAGGCTCATGTCAAACTCTCGAATCAAGGTCGGCATGTGCAGGACATTATGCATCCAGGCAAGATGACGCTGGTGGAAGATGAGCAGCCTGCGCGCGTCAGCGACTGAGAAGACGGCGTCCCACCGACAGACGGCATCGTCAACACGCTCGTCAGAAGACGCTGCTGCTGAGCTGACCGTGATCGATAGTGATGCTCGGCGGGTTTGGGTGTGCGGGAGGTTTAGGATACTCCGACGACCGTGGGTAAGGAACTCGAGGGTAGACACGGTCCCATTCGTCAAACGTGGACGGCTTGTGTATGATTTTGGTTCGCTCTGGTCGTGACTGCGACTACACATGGAGTTATCTTGCACCACCTCATCGGTGCAGCTGCCGTCCGGTTGGGTCTCATCGCCGCCGCCCTGTGTGGAACCCGGCGAGGCAGTCCGAACCCCTGGTTCCGAGAACAGGGTGGAATTGGGATGGTGCGGGTAATCGTCGAGCCTCAATCGCGTCGGGTCCGACTCTTCCCTTGAAGACGGCTGAGGCGACAACGCTGAGACACCATTCCTACGACACGATGAGGCAATACCCCTGTCGAGACATGAGGAACAGGGGATTGTCTTGGAGCATCGCTGCTTTCGGCGGGCACACTCGGTGCATGTGAGCGTCGGGCGCTGACTCTTACGCGGTTGCTTATGTCGACTAGATGACGGCATTGTGCGAGGAGAAAGCGAATGGGATTGAGGGTGAAGCGTCGGCCGGCGATGACCCAGGTCGGATGCGGAAGTAAGTGTTTACTGCTCCGCGCAATCCGTGACTGACTCATAATCCTGCCCGCGGCCGAAACTAAACATGCCGACGATGTAGATGATAAGACCTAGATGATAAGAAACAGGATCTGATTGGATGGTACTTAGGGTTAACGAATCATGGGTTAGGTGATATTTGTTGCTAAGCCAGGCTAAGCCCCTGCTTTACTTTCACTCTATTTTTGCGTGTAAAAGAGCTACCTGGTAATCATAATTGCATCAGTGCATCTATAGCGCCTCGGCTGGCTTACCATCTTTATGTAAATACCAGCCGCCTGCCCAGCCTAGAAAACGCTTTCTTGTGGCGCTCTTGAAAGTATGTATACGCGAGACCGAAGATACCGGGGGGTTGGGTAAAGTTGACTATGTTAATCACGAAGGCCACGAAGGCAGGGCAATGTATAGTGACTTCGTATCCGGTAGGAATAGGGTCAAAGATGATGAAAACACTACTTTAGAGGAGTGGATGAGGCGATTAGATGAAATCGCCATAGACCCTGAGCGGCCTCTCATCACGATGTAAGACCGGACAGTGGTGATGAGATAAGATCCTTATCGCTGATAAGATAAGATAGGACATAAAGCGGAAGTGGCAACCTTGGACTCGCCTCTGCATTAATGTGGCGCTACTCAACAGCTCACCAACCTCTCTAAAAAAGCATCAGTCTTGACCAAATCCGTCTTTCCCAACGGACAAGGCAACAATGGAACCTTCTTCACCCTCAATAGCCCACAGATCAATCTTACCCCGTCCAACATCAACGCCTGCCAACCCATCAGCACCTAGATCCACCAGCGACTTGGGAATCCCGCGGAAAACAAAGGTCATCTCAGCCTGCCAGCCCTGCAAGCAAAAAAAGATAAAATGCGACGGGGATCGCCCTGAATGCGGGCCCTGCATGTCCAAAGGCCGGAGCTGCGAGTACACACTCCAGGGCAACAGAACCGAGATCCTCATAAGGCGGCAGCAGGCTCTACAGGAGAATGTCGAGTCGTTCACGGCGCTGTATCGGTACCTCCAGGACCGGCCTGCGAATGAAGCCAACAAATTCTTTGAGCGGATACGCAATGGCTTCGGCATCGAAGCAGCGCTTGAGTTTGTCAAGAGCGAGGGCAGTACTTCTGCCTCAACTTCTAGAGACCCAGCGAGTGCGAGGCTAGCATGGAGTCAGCAGGTCTACGACTGCAATTTACTCTTTGAGAACGAGCTTCTCTCTACTGAGACTTCGGATGCGACCATTCAAGCTATGCGAGATGGAGTCAACTGTTACTTCTCGTGTTTGGGCACCATGTACCCTATTTACACGAGAGAGGAAACAAACTCCATCACTGACACCTTTCTTGAGAGCCAGGAGGGGAAGCCCGATCAGGTCCTTAGCAGAAAGATTGCATATGGCGAGCTGCTGGCAATCTGTGCTGTGGGCTTTCAGTATGATCGACAGACTTTACCCAGTGGCAACGCATCGATCTGTACGCCGTTCTATCAGAAAGCTCGACTATTTCTTGATTATGTGGTGGAGAAGGCTCCTCTGCGTGCGATGAGGATATGTTGCTGTTTGGGGATATACAACGTCATCGCCAAGTCCTCATTGGCAATATCTTATACAGGCAAGTCTACCATGTTCTGTCAAAGGCCTCGTGGCTAATCAAACTTGCCAATAGACTGGGGCATTCTTCTGGGCTCCTCGAGTGGACTCTGTGTCGGGAAGCGGCCACATACTCTATCGGAACAGGACTTTAAGGGCTATGTCAAGACTTTCACAGCACTTATCACAGTGCGAAGCTGGTTGACAGCCACTCTCGGACATATCCCCAGCCCAGAAGTCTCCCGATGCATCCACGTAAGTCAACTCACGCAGACTGTGCTATTTGCTGCTGATTTGTTCAGGAAACAAGACAGCAGATGGACAACACCGGAGCCGTGGTCTCTGCAGGAGAGGATGCTGTCATCGGCACACTCCAGGAGAAAATGGCACAAATCACAATCCTCAAAGCCAGTGTCCTACGAACCGTGGCATGTTTTAGAGTATTATCTCCTGCTATCCTCAGGCAAATGCACCAAGATCTAGACATATGGCGATCCAGTTTACCACCCTGCCTGCGTCTCGAGACGTTGATGCACACTCCGCAGATATCTCCTGACCAACGCCGCGTCACGTTCTATATGCATCTCTTTTACATGTCCGCTTTTATTCTTAAGGCCAGGGCGCTTCTAGCCACTCAGAAGGACATAGCGTCTTGCACGTGCGGTCCAGAGGCCACGGCTGCCGTTCTTGAGGGCGTACATGCCGCTCGCAACTCAGCTCGACTTCTAGGACTGATTCACGAGGAGAAAGCTGTGGTGAAGAACTGCTGGTTAACTATGTAAGAGGCCATCCTATACCTTGGACCAAGCTAACACATGCATTATCAGTTATCAATGCTACGTTACCTTCCTCTTGCTGAATTTCACTGCTATCCAAAGCTTCCTCGTGGGCGGTGCAGCTGCATTCAGACAGCAGGACATTGTGCTTTCACGCCCCTGTATCGAGATTCTTGCTCTGTGTGCCACTCGAGACAGGATCGCACGCAGCTTCCACGCTCGGCTAGCAAAATACCAAAACACTATAAAAGAACAATTACCAGGATTTCAAGCAAAGACACCAGAGGATTCTGGTTCATACGGAGATGAATCATTTGATGACGACTCATACTTGTTCATTCAGTCGAGCGGCAACAGCAAACTTCATCACTTGATATATGAGCTCCGGGAGTTGCTATGTCATCCCCTGACACTTCTCAAAGGGGAATCGGAGGCCAGCATACCGTATCCTACTGTTTCCAAAGCATCTGTCGACGCGGATATTGATTTTGCTCACCACCTAGCCTCGCCGTTCAATATGGCTGAAGATGAGGTCCCGAATGGGTTATTTCCCCCTGATGAGAGTCTTGGGGGCAGTCACAACTATGCAGCGGAGACTGAGGGCTATCTAAGTGGTTCTGTGCCTTTCGGATGGGACATCTCAACGTGGAGAAGATATCCCGGCACTAGAAGCTCAAATAACACTTGAGCAAAAGAAATTATATAGCATTTGCCGTGTATCTTTATTCATCATCTACTCCCCAGTCGCCTTCATCGCTTAACAATGATGTTCTGTAAGGTATCTATAACAGTCTGAATCTCCTCGCCTACCAATAGTTAGTAGTGCAATATTGCATTCCACTAGGACTTACGGGTGTTATAATGTGCCATGCTCACTCGAACGACACCATCAGCTGTGTCGAGATCAAGGACCTCCTTCACCAAACGATGAGAGTAAAAATGGCCATGTTTCAGGCCGAGATTCGAATTGGCTTCGATAGCTGCGACGACACTTCGAGAGTTCCATCCATCAATAGTGAAGCTGACGATAGGTAAACGCTTGCTAGGATCCGAACTCGGTTCTCCGTAAATCGTTGCATCATCTCGTTTGGATAGATAGTCGAGAAGTAATTTCTGGATTTCCGTCTCTTGCTGGATACTCTTATCCCAGCTCTCGGCAAGAAGATGGTCTACCACGACGGATATACTCGCTATCAGCTCGTAGCTTCCAGCAGAGAAGCCAGCCTTGTCGGACAGACTTTCAGCGGGGTTGAAGTAGTGACCCAATGGACGGATCTGTTTCTGAGCTTCACGACTGCCGAAGAGCATCGCGATGTGAGGGCCAAAGACTTTGTACCATGAAAGGCAGTAGAAGTCAACGCCGAGATCCTTGACGTCGATGGGTCGGTGGGGTGCGTAAGCTACGCCATCGACACAAACTAAAACATTCGGGTATTCGTGAGCAGCTGAAGCAATGGCCTTGACATCGTGGATTGATCCAAGTAGATTAGTGCAATGAGTCAAGGCAAGGAATCTCGTCCTGTCTGATAAAAGCGGCTTGAGGCTCTCGGCTGTCAGCTTGGGACTGTTGCCTTGACCTTCTGGAGTCCACCACTTGGCGATGAGTCCTTGTCGCTCAGCTAGGTCCAGCCATGGCGCGATGTTTGCCTCATGGTCGAGGGTTGATACGATGATCTCGTCGCCTTGAGCAAAGGTGAGGCCTAGTGCGAGGTTGCGCAGGAGTTGCGTTGAAGAAGCGCCGTACACTATTTTCTCCGTAAGTTGAGTGTCATGTGACAATCTTGCAAAGATTTCAAGTACCGATTTCATCGGGAAGTGCATTGATGTATCGTGCAGCCGCTTCGTAGCCTTTGTTCACCTTTGTTGCTGAGAGCTTGCCTACGCCATATGAGGCGCCCATCTGCACATTCGAGGTGATGAGGTAATCTCGTATCCTGTAACGACAGTCAGAACAAAAAGACTCCCAGGTTAATAGTAGAACGCACGAGTCGGCCGCAGCGCCCAGAATTTGACTTCCACCAGCATTGTCGAGGAAGATTTGTTCCTGCTGAAGAGCTGGGAACTTTGCCCGAAGAGCCTTGATGTCAAGCTGTGGTTGAGACATCTTCGAATTGGCGCAACAAAACTTGACTTCAGAGTACAATTGTGATTACGTCGAGATTCACTGGATCAAACGAGATTGAGGCCAGGTTGGAGTCTGAGGAGATAAGAGGGAGCGGGGTAGACTATCTCGGCCCCCGGTAATTATGATGCAATTATTCGGAGAGGATAATGCAAGCAAAATAGGAAGGTGAGACAACAGCAGCAGCTAGCGTTAATCAAGACTATCGATATGAAATACAGTTGCTTAGTGAAGAAACATCCTCCGGGAAGCGGTAAGGACGCTCGTTCAATGAAGCTCGGACATCAGCGACAATGTGAGAGATTTCGGTACAAAATACGGACCGTCACGCACCTTTATTTCGCACGAAGAAAGGAGCTGAGGTCAAGTGAATGGGGGCATTCAGATGTATCCTCGCTGAGTCGCCCATCGTCTCATTGATGGACTCAGCTTCAACCCAACGACAGTGAGACATTGGTCATACATTCAATCAGTGGAAGCTTTTCGAGCCTCATATCACCGCATGTTGTAGTGTCTGATGATTTGTGCTGTAGCTATCACTCTCGCTATGAACAAAGCATCACTATCCCCAGGGCAGATTTACAGGCCATTCAGAAGTCATGAATCAGCTCCCTTGGCCCTCTGAATGCGCATGCAGCAGACTCTAGTGTAGATATAAACACGAGCATTGGACGGAGAGATGGGAGGCTCAGACTACATCTTTCACACAACTCAACAAGAACAACACCACTTCTTTTCACCAGCTTTTCAACACCTCAAAACGAACACATTAGACGACTCGTCAGCCCATCAACCCCAGTCACTTCCGTTGTGCCATTCTTCAACAAACATTCACAAAGCAACCCAAGTATAAATTCAAGCAATTATAGTAAGTCTTGGCCTTTGCGTGCTCCAAAACCACGAAACCCAGCAGCCAAGTTTCGATAGCAACTTTTTTAAACACTAGCTGGCCTACAGATCTTCTTTCAACATGTGTCAAAAGACAAAACGAACCGTCAAGTGCAAAAAGTGCGCATGTATCCTTGAAGACGAGACCTCAATCAAGAACTGTGAAGGCTATCTAAAGAAGGGGAAGTGCAGCAGCACGCCGCCAGACATATATGACTTTTCGGAGAAGGATACGGATGCCTGCCCGGATTGCACAACACCTAAGCCCATTGCTGCAAGAGCAGCTTGAATCATGATGGCCAGGACCAGTAGGGGGAAGCTTTGGGGTCGGATGATAGCCTAGGTCAGACAGGAAATTGAAGTTCAAGGACTCCAGCTACATGATCGTATGATGAACTTGGTGTATCAATGATAACGTGCATATTACAGTCTGGATTAAGCGCCCTGACAGATTTAGAGGACTTAGAACTTGGAAATCTCTATATCAGTTATTTTCAGCACTACAACTTAAAGATACACAATTCCAGGTCTTGTCTACTTATGAATAGCTGCACAAAGGTTGGCGTGACCCACGTGGCCTTTGCCTGAATAATCAACACAAACAACACTTCTTAAGCTGCACTTATTCATCAGGAAGCCTGAGGCGGCTCGCAGATCTCTGGGCCTGTGATCAGCGCCATGTTCCTTGCGGTTAATGGCAGGACATAATCTCCTCAATTGCATGCCTGCCTTTTTCACCTTCGCATCCAAACACTGATTCAAGTCAAAATGATACGGGTCCTCTTTGCCAAGACAGGTATTCACCGTAGTCGCCGATGTGGTTACATCTGTACTTAAGGAAGCCTACAGACCGAAGTTCATGGCAACCTCATTATCTCCAAACCACCTTTCAAGCACTGTGACACTCACACTACTCAACAACATCACTGAACAACCCCCCTGACAGCGAGAATGTGCACCGGGAAAGTCAAAATCGAGAAATGCAAATCATGCCGAAAGATGTTGAAAGAGACAATCACCGTAACTGGAGGCTGCGACGAGATGCACCAGACTGGATCGTTTTGCCGTCGAGGGAATTGGCCAGAAAAACATGTGTGGCGTAGCAAGAGGCATTGCAGTCATTGCACACCTCCCAGCAACAATAAAGGGGATTGTGGCGATGGGGGTTATTTGCTTTGCTTTTTGTGTGGCATGTGTGCTCAGTGTTGAAGTTTCTATTTATCACGCAAGCTCATACCATCAGCTTCGTAACGTTCTTGCAGTAAATCACAAGACAACTATTTGCTTTTGATAAATGCTATTGAAGAGTCTCCGTGACGAAGTATAGAAAGTCTACCACAATTCAATGTATATTGTTCTTCTTCAAACACTGCTCCCATACGGTAAGAAAGTCACGTGTGGGATAGTATAAGTCTAACAACCGAACTAGAGACCTAGTATTTCTCTCTTCCCATTCTCTAATATTATCATTCTAAAGTAACCCAATACTTATAATACTATATACTCCATCAAACGGCCTTTTCAGCAGCAATAATGTGCACAACTCATATTACAGTTAGAGAGTGCAGAATTTGCCAGTATGAGATCAATAGGACTCATGATGTACCTATACCTTGCAAGGAAGTTACAGAGGGGAAAGACTGTAAATTTGAGAGATATCGATACCATAAGAAGCCGGAGAATGAGAGATCCTGCCCTGAGTGCATAAAAAAGGCCAAGAAGGATGCTAAGTAAAAGAAGACACGTCGGTTGATTAAGCCAATATGCAGAATGCTGTATGCTAGGTTTTAGCTGGTATATACACACCGTTCTCAAACGATATCAGGATTTTCTATTCGACTGTCACTGTTCCGTTGCATAATTAACCGTTAGAACTCTACTGAAGACCATTTCTGATGTTGTAGATATGGAGCATATAACCTCGGCCGACTATCATGACTTTCATTCGCAGATGGCTATGTAAGGGACCTTATGCTGTTGATTGCGTTGAATCGTGTGAGGCGCTTGATGTAAGCATCAGGTGTTAGGTGCATCAACTCAAAATAACACTCTTATAAACCCAGTCTATTGTGTTGCATCGATGATACCTAAGCACAGTGCAGTTAGAACAAGGTTGAGAAGTGCAGCTCATAGGTTTGCAGAAATAAGCACCTCATATGTTCACCATCATCGGATAATGGGACGACCGGGCTATAAATTAAAGGGATTCCGCCCCGAGCCTCTACTTTTCCGTACCATCACTTTCCCAGCATCCTTTATCCAGTTATTGTCCACCTCAAACTTAAAATTCACCTCCAGGATGTGTATCATTCCAGGCACAGTGGTTATCTGCAAAATATGCGGTAACGAGATCACGAGAACAATGCATACTCTTCAGCCATGCCAGAGATATCTTGAAAAGGGGAACGCCGCTTGTCTTGAGATAAAGCATCAATTGACAGCTGACAGGTTTCATGAATGTGGTTCTTGCATAGAGCGTAAGAAGGAAGACAAATGTATTGTCTGTGAGCCCGATACCTAATCCGAGTGGTTAGCTGTCTCGTAGGGGAATGAGACATAGAGCTGAATAGGTCTGCAAGACGCTGGTAGATAGCTATTCAGATGCAGTAACTAACTGAATAGAAGCTAATAAGCCCCAAATGATCCGTCGTCTATGTGCTGAGAGCTGTGACTACATGGTTGCACTCTTAGTGACAAGTCGAACATTTAAACAATCGAAACCACGATATGAAAATGAGCATATTGAAGTATTCCGGAAATGCAAGTCTCTGAAACCCATGGTCCACGATACTTCCATCAACTATTCACTGCCACACAGGGACTATATATTAATCGATAGAGTCTCGAAGGCCCTGCTCTTTCCTTCGAGTACCATAAATCTTTTCAGTACTAACATAGCCTGAACTAAGCCTCATCTCACCACCAGGTATAATATCTCTCAATCGAGATGTGCACCACCAAACGAGACGTGTACAAGTGCAGCGTCTGCTTTTACGTTCTCAACACAACTTTTGCGGCTACAGTAATGTGTGAGGGCTACAAAAACAATGGTACCTGTGCTGGGGTTCATTACCCAACTTCAGTGGAGTACAGGGCGAATGACCGATGCCCAATCTGTATTGCCAACAAGAAGAAAGACAAGAAATAGGCTGAAACAAGTAGTAGGATTTCAATGTCTGCTGACTTAGACGGCCAAGCTATGTTTTCCTTTCGGGGTGGAGAAACACCATATGTTGCATACGTAGTGTACTTTTATCTATTTAATATTTAATTACATCTCAAGTTACCTACCGCCGCAGTGAGCCCTAGGACCTTCTCCTCCGTCTATGTTCATGATTCTATCCAACTATTGTTTGAGTGACGGGCTAGACCTTGGCCATTAATTTCTTGTTGATCCTTAACCGTAGGATAACAGTCAGAACAGTAGCGATAGCTGACATGGAGCCAGCGTAGAACATGGCCGGTCGATATGCGCCCAGTCCCTCATCTGCACCTCCATGTGCTTGAAGAAGGAAGCCAGCAATAGGAGATCCCTGTAGATATCACGTTAGTCTTCTCTAGAGAGGCACATGAGTGGTGAGCTTACAAAGAGGTAGCCAGCAACCCAGCCAACAATCACCATGCCCATGGCTGTTGATACTCTGGCAGATCCAAAGACGTTGCCGACAACAGTTGGCATGGAAGAAAAGAATCCACCGTTCATCAAACCATTGAGCACTGCGAAAACAGCCAACGGTGCGAGTGTGGTTGAAGCAGGCCAGAGGGCAATCATGGTGAGTGCATTTCCAAGAAAGAAGGCCGAAAGGGTATTCAGCGGCCCAAACTTATCACAGAGATATCCACTCATGATTCGGCCTACAGCAGAGGCAAAACTGAAGCCTGCAACAAGTCCAGCGCCAGTGTTTGTACTGAGACCCATAGATCGAGAGTAGAGGGGGAGGAAGTAAGGTGGGACGAGAAGAGGGAAGATACCGATGCCAGCGGCAAAGAAGAGAATAGCGAAGTTGAGCTGTCGAAAGAGTCTCCAGTCAACAATTCCCGTCTTTGCCAAAGGTACCCTCTCTTTGATCAGAAGCGCAGCTGGAAGTCCCGAAACAGCGATGAGGATGCCCGTGATGCGAAAGGCCCATTCAACACTGTGCTTCTCAATAAGAGAATTGGTCGCAATACTCATAATCGCACCTCCGAAACCGCCACCAGCATAGACGATACCATTGGCCAGACCCCTCTTCTTCGAGAAGTACTGCGCCGGAGCGAGAGAGAATGACATAAAGCAGCCAGCCATTCCTAGTCCAAGAGGGATACCAGGAAGAAAGATAAGTCCAACGAGATGATCCGTAACAAAACTCGCGCCAATGAGCGAAAGAGCCATGAGGATGATCCCCACGCTACTAAGTTTACGTGTCCCAAACGTTCGCAGCATTCTCGACACGATGACCCCAACAGTCGCCATCAGAGCCGGCGACAACGAACCGCAGAAGGACAATGCCAGCGGTGATCCAACGTTTCGCTCAACGAGGGCATTTTGGTACACGCCCCAGACGTAGCTGAGTCCGATAACCCACCATGCGACGACGGCGCAGGCACCGATCACGACCCAGCCGTAGCCGCCATCAGGGACGGTGCTATCAGCGATGCGGGAAGCTTCAAGTGCTGGGTCATCAGATTCTAGACTGCTCGGAGAGGCATTTTCAGCAAGTCCGGCTCTTGTTGGACGGAGGGTTGAGGAGGTGGTGGGTTCGTAGGTTGTGCCGTTGCCGTAAGCTTCGAGCTGGACGGCTGTAGTCGTCGACATGATGTTGTCGCAGCCGAGTACTCCAGAGTTGAGCGAAACTGCGGTACCATGCGTCTTTTTTTGTGACCTGATGATGTGTAAAGAGATTTAGGAGGGGATGGACTTTGGTGGCTATGAGGATATTTATCCTTAGTGTCAACTGAAGGGCGCGTGTTACATCATCAATCGCGCCCAGAATTGCCAAGACTGTCTAAAGAGCTTAAATTCATCATGTATTCCCGACCTAACAGGCATCTTAATTTCTTTTATTCTTATTATACACAATCACTCTTAAATGTAGCTAAAGAGAGTGTACAGAGGTAGCTTCAAGGGCTCAATTGAGGCAGTTGGACGTTTTGTGGCCCAGGATGAGGCGTCAAAATCAGGGCGTAGGGTCATTCGTTGATTGGCCCATCCATCATCTCAGCCTTCGGCCTCAAGACACCATTCTAATATCTATTGTACCTTCAAGCAAGGAGGCAATTCTGGCTATTGGCAGTGTCATTGTATATTAATAGCTTAGGCATTCCGGATTTCTTGTGCCTACTAGCAGAACTCTAGGGGATCACGAATTATCTGACTTGAAGCTCTTACTTGCTACCGCGAAGATTGATACTCCCGACGGGCGTATGTTGCTACATATGTACTGCACATATGATAGTGAATCCCCTTGCGTATAAACAGTGTCGCGATACATGTCGGACCTAGAGATATATCTATTCATTTTGGGAGCTATCTATGAGCTTTCGACGCACATACACATTCGCAGTTGGCATCAACGAGAAGCCCTTCGAGGTATGGCTCTCCAAGGCCTGTGCCGCCATTAAAAAGTTTGGCAAGTCTCATGCTCTTATCTGCAGCGAAGTCAAGAACATGACTACCGCGGAATACGCGGACTATAGAGTGCGGAACTCGGGATCGATTTTGCACAGTTCTCTTCACGGAGATGGTCAAAGGTGACTCTTTCTGATGAACAGAACGCTATCCTGCAGATCAGCAAGACGCAGCAACACTGCGAAAGGCTTGGCTCACTACTTATTGAAATCTTCTTATATGAGAAGGACACGTTTGTGGAGAACACGGATAATCTTCTAGCAGTGCTTATGCATAAATAGAAGATTAGTCTAGCTGAGGCCGCGCGACGAGTCGCTGCCATATCACAGACATGCCCAGAAGGTCAAGCGCATTCGGACTGGGATGGAAGCTGAGTGCGAAGGTTATTCTGGTCTTGGAACGTACGTGTCAGATATGGAGTTGTTTGGTGCGGCGTTTTGGTTCTGGCAACTTCAGGGCACGAAGCGATACTTGTCCAAAACATCGCCGTTCAAAGAGCTGCGATTGGGGGACGTGAAGTCGAAGGCCGAAACCTCGAATGACATTTACACCTGTATCCGATAGATTGCCATTTTTGAAAACACTGCATCGTTATAATGGTCAATCTACCTCATCGTTCACATCACTTCGAGTTTGAACGCATGCGATAAGTGGTTTCAGGGCGGGTTTCCAGGGTGAGTCGTCAAAATAAAGGCGCGGGTGCGTCATCTCACTTATCGCACCCTCCATTTCACTCAAATGTCATCATATTCTACATCAAATTGGCCACCTGTTATGTATAAATAAGGCAATGGTAACTCGTACCAACTCTTCTTCATTTTTATCTTCAAGTTCATTCAATGCACGTCACGTTGCTCTTCACATAGACACTTCAACGCTCAGACTTGCCTCATATCTCATAATGACCTCATCACAAAACGACCCTACAGCTTTAACTCAAAGCTTTCACTACAAAACCTCAACACACAGTTATGATGTGAAATGGGGCTCACTAGGTGATCCCAAGTCTCCTCCTCTCATTTTCATTCATGGAACACCGTGGTCATCTCGCGTCTGGGTACCTTTTGCCCTCTCACTCTCGCGTCAGTTTCACGTGTATCTCTTCGATAGACCTGGTTTCGGCGACACGCCTGCAGAGAAGAAATCAGATCCGACAAAGGCCAGCTCAGGCTCGATTGAAGAATACGATAGCAACCTCGCACGACAGGCAGAGGTGTTTGCTGCACTCTTCAAGTCCTGGCAGGCAGATTGGACTCAGGAGAAGGCTCACATCGTCGCCCACGATAATGCCGGCCTCGTTAGTCTACGAGGCTTTATCCTCCATGACTTGCCATATGCAAGTCTGTGTCTCATTGACGTTGTCGCGATCGGCCCATTTGGCCAACCTCTCTTCAAAATCATCGCCGAAAATCCCCAGCTCTTTGAACAACTCCCCGACACAGCTTTTGAGGGCATACTAGAGAGCTACATTAGCGACGCAGCATATTATGAATTACCAAAGGAGACAATGCAGACGCTCAAAGATCCTTGGCTGCGAGAAGGTGGAAAACGAGGTTTCATTCGTGAATTGTGCCAAGCCAACTCCAGATCCACGGAGGAAGTGGAGGCGAGATATGGAGAGGTTGGGCCGAAGCTGCCAATCAAGATCATCTGGGGAGCTGATGATAAGTGGCTCCCGGTGGAGGTCGCGCACAGATTGGGGGACGCGTTGAAGGCCAGGGAGGTTATCGTTATCGATAAGGCTGGCCATCTGAGTATGATTGATCAGGGAGCGCGTGTTGGAGTTGAGCTGGGCATGTGGCTTAGCGCTGCTTTGTATAAACAGTAATAGAGGATAGATTCAATGTTGAATTATCATTTTAACTAATTTCCTCCAGCTTGTACACATAACTTTTTGATAGTTGAAGTGGTGAACCGAGGACCGTGTTTGAACGGGCGGTTGCATTTAGGATAATGGCAAAGTACCGCACATCGAAGCATCGTAATAGTTAACAACAAGCTGGAAATAACTAGGTAAAGTAACACAGAGTAAATGGATTTATGAATTATTTTTCATTTTAGTGACTTCTCTTCTACACGTCGGGGACTACATATTGCTTTCTCATAGTGATTTCTAGAACATTACCCTACACCACCTGACTCAGCGGCCTTGACAAGATTAAGTTAGCGCCTGCTATTTTTACTCCAAGTCTCGGGCTCTCGGACATTGATCGAACATACCCGACGCCATGTGTCGCATTTCGATCTGTGCTACGTAAATCTCGCGCTACGCCAACAAGGCTACGGCTCAATACAACAGTCGCAAAAAGCTTCAAAGTGGTATTTATCGTGTTGCAATAAAAGAACCACCTCGCGAGATCATCACCCATGCTCACCGCTTACTCAGGGTTGCAATTCTATCCGAAACAAACCTTCTTTACGAGCTGAGAGGAGGATGCTTCGTGTGCCTGACTAAAATAAACAGAGTCCACCGTGATCGTCAGGGCAGAAAAGTCAATGATGCGTCTCGATTCCATTGGATATTCTCAGCTACGTTTTAGACATGCCGACAACACGGCCCAGCTCATCCGATCTTCAGAATCAGCTGAAGTGTTCCCCATAGACAGTGACGACTTACCCACCGGGTAATTACGCGTCAGAACACCCGTTCTCCACCAGCAAGGATTGCGTTACGCAACGGTACCCAGTATTACCGGGTCAATCTTCATCTCCCCCCCCTTTCGATTGCCTTATCAGTGACAGAAACTGGGTTCGAGCCAACATCCAGGGTTAGCTGAAAGGGCAAGGGAAAAAAAAGTTTGCCAGGCGCAGCAAGATAACACTGTCGCTTTTTATATACCCACCACAGCCTACCATTCTCTCCCACTTACCTAAAGTTTGCTTGCGCATCTTTTATTTTTCGTTTTTCTCGTGGTAGGCCAACGTCGCATTCGTTTTATAAAGTCACTCGTTCTTTTGTTGTGACCTGCTTCGACTTTCACTCGTTTTTTGAATTTAATATTGATCCGATTTTTTCTTACTTTCTCCACGATGTATTTCTCCGCGTGGTCCAAGATCGCCCTTGCGGGTCTTTTTGCTTCAGCTGCTGCTCAGACCTACAGCTCGTGCAACCCTATGGAGAAGAGTACGTGAAAGAGTATCCGCTTTTGACTTTCTTAACATGCACTGACTATAGCCCAGCATGTGATTCTGACACAGGCCTCGCTTCTTCATCATATTCAGTCGACTTCACCAAAGGTGCTGATAAGGACAATTGGGAGGCAACTGGTGATGGCACTGTCAAGTATACTTCTGATGGTGCTGAGTTCACTGTTGCTAAGCAGGGCGATGCCCCTACCATCCAGAGCAAGTGGTACATGTTTTTTGGCCGCATGGAGGTTCACTTGAAGGCTGCGCCGGGAACTGGTATCGTCTCATCTGTCGTTCTTCTTTCAGATGTTCTCGATGAGGTTGATTGGGAGTGGCTTGGAGGCAGTGACGGGGAGGTTCAGACCAATTACTACGGCAAAGGAAACGACTCATCTGATACTCGAAGCGCTACTTTCCCAGTCACCAACACCCAGGAGGAGTTCCACAACTATACCATTCACTGGACCAAGGAGTCTTGCGAGTGGTACATCAACGGCGTTGCTGTGCGTACGGTCAACTACGCGGATGCTCTTGGAGGAGAGAACTATCCTCAGACTCCTATGCGTGTCAAGCTTGGTATCTGGGCCGGTGGCGATCCTGACAATGCTGAGGGGACTATTGAGTGGGCTGGCGGAGAGACTGATTACAGTGCGGGTCCTTACACCATGACTGTTCAGAAGATTACGATTGAGAACCTCAACCCTGCTGAGAGCTACACCTACAGCGATAAGACCGGCTCATACAAGAGCATTGAGTTTGATGAGAAGGACAGTGACAGTGATGACGACTCCTCATCGACTGCCTCCGAAGCTGCCTCAAAGACTTCATCCAAGGGTACTACCTCTAAGACATCTTCTGAGTCGACTTTCACCACTAAGACTTCCACTAAAGCTGACTCCGAGTCCTCAACAACAGCATCCGACTATTCTAGCGAGACTGAAAGCGCCGACTTCAAGAACAACAAGGCCGAGACAACTAGTGCTGGTGCAAATTCGTCCGCAAGCAGTGCTGCAGTTACGCCTTCGGCTACTGGTGGTTCAACAAACAGCGCTGCTGGAAACTGGCCCAAGATGTGGTTTGCCCTTGGAACGACTTTTGCTGCCATGGTCATGTTGTGAACTCAGGACTTTCTCGTATATAGAGTTGCGAAGCTGTTTATTTGGCTTGGATAAGTCTTGTCGTAATTCACACTTTGACTCTACATTGCTCTTGTGACGGATGATAATGACGCGTTATAGAACTAGAACGGAGCATTCCGTTTGGCCTTGGATGCCATGTCTATTTTACACCAAGTGTGACTACTGATGAGCCTAAATATCCGACTATCGGTAAACGCGCGGCTATTTGCTGAGCAGATAAGTTGAGCATGTCCTACTGGATCGTTGTGGATGTGATGGCGAATGAGATGATCTCTTAGAATCAGATATGTAACTGTAACCCTACTCCACAGCTAGTAAGTCAATCATCTACCGCTTCATATCCCGAGTACACTCTCCATCGTGCTTCTCAATTACTATAAAGTCATATGCACAATTCTCATAGCACTGAAACCACAACTTCAGATCAGGGTCCCAAAGTTGAATTCTATCCTTAAAAGCAAGCAACTAGTCTCAAAATATCTTTGTGTGACGACTGTGCAGTGTCTAAGATACGACAACAAATCCGCCGTCGACCTTGAGAAGTAGGACACAGACCCGGAGAACGGCTAGCTATTGATTTCCATGACATTACTCCTGACCCAGACGGCAAGAGTAGATTGATGACCTGGCTTCATTTGGGATTATTGCCTAAGCAGTAGAGGAACAGAGACACCATCGCTGCATTAAAAAAAACCTTTTCGGCTTTCTCTATCATCAACATGGAGTCAAGCCTAAAGTGGCAGAGTGCGATAATGAAATTGTTAGTAAGAACCAGTTTAATGCAGGATATAGCATAATCTTCATATATCTTTGCTTGCTGTATCTAACAATTGAGGATACTGCTGCATATACCTCAGCTCAGAATGGGAATGTGGAAGTCTCAGGCCATATCATCAAAGCAAAGGTTAGGTTAAAGAGGGTGGGAGCCTGACTACCTGCTAGCCTCTGGGTGGAGATCTAATAATGTGCCGTGTGTCTGTACTACCGAACTCAATCTGAGGGCTTGGATCGGATTGTTGGTTGGCTACCAATCTACTAATACCTACAGGATCTGGAATCCTTAAACAGGAAGAGTTATTTCAATGAGAGATGTAGTTTTTAATGAAGATGAGCGATTTAACGGAGACTTGAGCTAACTAAGAGACGACTTGCTATATGTTGGGAGAGACGAGCTGATGAACTTACTCAATCAAGTCGAGGAGCCTGAGATGGACTGTAGTGCGATGGCGGAAGAAGCCTTAAATAGCGCTTTTATAAATTGGGAGGGCCTTCGCGAAGAAGACGAGGATGTCGGAGCCTGGGACACTAGGGAAGACCCCGCACTCCGTGAAGTGGCGGAAGATATAGGAGCTGAACAGTCAGAAGTTGAGCCTGATTAGCTAACTGGAACTGATGAAGGCTTTGGAATATGCAGGGACGCGAAGGTCAGCGAAGGACTACCAGAAGGCGGCAGGGAAGACCAGGCCAAGAATTTTGACACCTTCGTTCGGCCGTACCCGACCCCTGTGTCTCTTCCACCGACGGCACTTCTGACCACGGTGAGCCGAGAAGTCTCAGGTGACACGATTGATTGAATTGATTGATATACCTGATTATTAATCTCATCTGACGGCAGCTCTTGAGGAAACCAAAAGCACCCAGGTGGTACTGGGTTGAAACTAGGATAAAAGGCTTGCCCAACTCGATCGAACTTTTGACCACAGGTGTTTTCAAGGCTATATCAAGGTTTCGCAGCCGCATCTAAAATCTCTATACAGTCTTCTGATACGTTCGTCGTGTCATTCCACCTTGTTACTCGCGGTTCGGCATTTCATCATAAAAGCGACACGTTACCGAAAGCGGAACCTCTGCCCGACAGTCAGCGATTAAAGAAGATTGGCCAAAGCAAGGCCCTACGATATGTCTCGCGACAAGTTCGGATAACTCTGCAGAGTGATTTTCTAGACCTAGTAAGAACAGAACAACACACAGCATAACATTCCATTATCACAAATTCCTAGCGGGCATCAGACCAATTGTCACCGGTTTGTATCTATCCACTATATCACCGACTGTATGAGACCTCTTATCTGAAAACTGTAGCAGCTTCCACTGAAATTCATCACAGAACAATACTAGTGGCCTCCTAACTGTTCGGTGATAAGCCTCTGTAAGGCCGAGTCCGGGCTTTCTGTACACCTAAAACGCACTAAGGACTGTTTCCAGACAACTTAAGAGAAGAATCTTTCCTGCTTAAACAATCAGAACAACTGACTACTTGCTCAACTTACTTCTCATACAAACTTTGTCTCTATACCTCCTTCCAGAATGACAACGCTTCCTGTTATAATTATTGGTGCTGGCGTTGGCGGTCTCACTATGGCACAGTGCCTTCATAAAACCCGTGTTCCCTTTCATGTGTATGAGGCAGATTCAAGCCTGACTGCCCGCCGCCAAGGATATCGCATTCGCATCGCCGACGAAGGCATTGAGGCTTTGAAGCGATGCCTGTCACCAGAAAAGTATCGCACCCTGGAAGCGTCTTGTAACACTATTACCTCACACTCCAGCATTCCCAATGCGACGCTCAATGCCGTGACTGGAGATCCGACAACCAAGTTGTTCAATCCAGGGGCGAACACTCCGGTGCCGCCTCGTCCCAAGTTCAAGCCTTTAAGTGCAGATCGAGGAGTGTTGAGACAGAACCTCTTAGACGGCATTGAAGACCATGTCACGTTTGGTCGGCAATATCATTCTTTCACCGATGGTAATGACGGGATCACTGTACACTTTGCAGATGGGCTTGATGTTGAAGCCTCTCTCTTGATTGGGGCGGATGGCATTTGGTCTCGAGTCCGTCAGCAGTTGTTGCCCTTTTACGACCTCCTTGACACAGAAGCACGACTAGTGTTTGGAAAAACATCCCTCACAGATGACTTCTCTCAAAAGTTCTCAAAATCTGCCTCGGAAGGCCTCACCCTCATACATGGTGGCACCATGAAGTGTCTCCTCGAGCCCATGCGCTTCAGCAAAGAGATAACGCCTTTGCCAGAAGACTACGTTTACTGGGTTTTGTTCTTACGTTGCGATTCAGAGGCTATCCCTGCGGATGTTCTATCAAAGCCCCTGGACGAGGTAAAGACTCTGGTTCGAAGCCTCACCAAAGATTGGCACCCGTCGCTAGCGTGTCTTTTCGAAACCAGCACGACAGAAATCTCAGCTTTTCGAGTTCTTTCATCGAGCCCAGACATCCCTGATTGGGGAGCTGGGGCCTCCATTGGGCGCGCCACTCTTCTTGGTGATGCAGCACATGCGATGAGTCCCACAGCTGCTTTGGGTGCTACAACAGCCATTCATGACGCAGCCAGGATTATGGATGCTATAGAGAAGCGCGGTCTGAATCCTAAAGCGCTGAGATATTATGAACATCAGATGAGGGTTTACGCCAAGGAATCGCTGGAAAAGAGTTTGATGGGAGGAAGAGCTATGTTCGGCATGCGCGCGTTCCAAGATCTCCCAAAGGTAAGAGTCCAATCTCATAGTTGAAGGGTTACATGAGAGCTATTAGAGTTACAGAGGATAATGTCGAGTCGGTCTCATCTTGAAGTGGGCTCATAGGCGGAGTATGTATTCATTTATGGATCTCTTTGGCAATGGAAGGGATGTCATATATGCACCGCTACCAGTGCAAATAGAATTACATGCACACATTCATACCAGTCCACCAAACTTGCTGGGCCGTTCTATTACGGTGCCAGGCGAAACATACCGCTCTGCCAGGTCACTAATGGCAGTTGCCCAATACTGATCCGAAGATGCCAGTCTGCACCTGAGCCGGTCTCCTCATACTGAATTTACCCTAACCAGACAACCTCGAGACATCACATGCATATTGCGTCTGCCATATATATTTAACTTTACAAAGGACTATCTCACATGCACATCGCAAAGGCCTGATTCCCAAAACCCGAATATTCGTACCTTGCAATTTCAAGGCCCTGAGTTGTAGGCTCTTAAGGTTGATTTGATTTGAGCCTAAGGATTATTTACAGAACATAGCATGGAAGGAAGTGTATAGACTCATAGTTACCTTTTACGGGGCGTTAAACTTGGCAAATCTCTCTTATCATGAAGCCCCAGGACATATCCTGCTTTCGTATTCTGAACCTCGTGAACGATGGTTAGTCCTGGATTGGCAGGGGTGCAGTTTCGATTCGATATGGATATGAAAGCCGCACACTAGTCATGCCAGGTTTCATGAATAACCTTTCGCGCCAATATCCTACCCAGCGACACTAAATCACCCATCGACCCAAGTCCAGCATCCAAATCCAGCGTCCAACCCGCGATGCTGAATCATACAGGGTATATTACATGCATTGGTAGTAAGGTCAGTGTTTGCTTGCTTTATGCTGCTAAGTATATGGTAGCTGCAGTGTACTAGCTGGAATACATATTGCTTTCACTATTAAACCCACATCTCGGACCTTATTACAATGGAGCAGAAATTCTATCTCTTGCCTCCGATTTCATTACTACTCAAGTTTTGACTTCCTTTATCATTAGAAATGTTAAGGACGGAGACTGACTAAGAATTAATTTGAGTGAGATGGCTAGTTCACTACCACAACGCTAGTACGTCTACGTTAACCTGTCATTGTCATGAATTCGTGGTTAAGAATATTCTGATAGTTATTTTCTGGCATTGCGGAGCTCCATGTCACATATTGTAGCGCGTCGATGCTCTCTGTCAGAGACTAAGCCTGAAAGGATTCTAATGCCGAGAACTGGTAAGCTATCTATGGGCTAATTACAAAAATACTATTGGCTGCGATAATACTAAGTCATTTTCCATACGAAACCAGTCTTGCTTCGGATCTTAGCTAATCCTTGTGAGCGTATCTGTAAACCATGCTCCAGAACGCATTCTATCAGGCCTATTGCCAGTCAGCGGGATAACAGGGCGCAGCCGACATATTGTGGCCACTTTTGGTGCCTGCAACCAGGGAGGTTGAGACCAGCCTGTTCCATGCGGGCGCCACCACCGGTCGAGAACGGGTGAGCGAAAAATGGAGAGAGTTGTCCTGTATCTGGGCTGTAGGGCAATCTGAGTTGGATACCTGTGAGTTGGTGGTCGCGCACGGGCTAAGAGATAAGGATAGTGGCAAGAATGAAATTCCCTCAAGGTATTCATTCCATCCATCACCTTTGCCTCATCAAAACCTACCCCACTCAACATTGATACTTTTCCACGCCGAATTCGTCTTCTGCTCGGTCTCAACTGCATGCTTAAAATCCATCTCAGTACGGAGCAATGCTTTTGGAAATCACTATCTAGCAGTCTTCAGATATCACTAAATCTTCTTTGTCAAACCAGTCTTGTCGGTTAGTCTTGAAACTGAAAGACTCCAAGTAGCAGGAAAAATCAGGAAGAATGCCTTGGTTTTCTTCCCTGAAAATGTCTTTATTCCTTACGTAATGAGGAGGTTGCTTTGATGTATCCTGATATGTCTATCTAATCAGATAGCTAGTATCATAAATACTCAACATAATAGGTCTTTTACCTGTAGATCTAAGTACTCTAGATAATGCAGTCTGCTGATTGTGACTCTTTGTCCTTACTTCTGTGCCTCCTCAAGGCTGGTATCTATGGCATACTGATTAATAGCCAATAAAAAGTAAGTAACGAACTTCAGAAGGGTGGCAAAGCTACCTCCTCGTTATGTAAGGGATACTAGGAACCATAATGCAGTAGAGCATTCTTTTCTAAAGAGCGGATTGTGAAAACTTGCTTGAACTGTTGTAAGCTACTCTCTGCTGAGCATCTTCAGAATGCTTTAATCTATAGACGCTACAAAGGTACTAAGATATGAAAACGTTACTAAGGTATGCCGCCGCTTTTGCCCCTATCCTGCCGTTCTCTGTAGTCGATACATTGGACAGCACACACGGTAGCTAGGCCGCTATAGCAGGGGGCAATTAGAACTAGGCACTCGCCCTGATTAGCTGTAACTTCCACGACGTTGTAGTTACCTTATAGGATCGTCTAGCGTCCCCTTGCCTGGTGGCCTGGTCTCAACTAATGGGGTGATTGATAGGCACATATCATTCAGCTTCTTACGCAGAGCGACATGAACTAACCGAAAACTCCACCGATAATATCACGCACCTGGTGCGAACACGACGAAGATTGGCGACAATAAGGGGTAAGTGGGAGACGACGTGACAGGAAACAGCTCGGTGAGATGTCCGTGGGTAGGCAAAACGAGTATGGTGCAGGTACAGTAAGGTACATAATACGGTACCGTGGTCAGTATACATCAACGCTATATACCAAAAAAAACATTTAAAATTAGTAGGAACTGTAAGGTTTTATGGGGTCAATCGCTTCAGCCGCTATGCCTTGTAAAATCTGAATCTTAGTTGTGGCCAGCCCTGAATGTCTCAATCTTGTATAATTCTTTATAATCTACTTCTTACTACTATTGTTATAACTAGAGGAGGTGTAAATTCTCAAGAGCCGACAATGGATGGCTTGTTTAGGTAGGTAACAGGATGCGTTCCGCTTTCCTCGAGATCCTGGTTTCTGTCCTATCCTTGTCTCGGTCAAACATACTCCATACAGATGCTTCTGATGCCAGCCAGCTACCATAATAGGAAATGCCCCACATATCTATCATGACTGCTACTGGTCAACAAGGAGCCTTACATTAGGGTGCACATTCCTTCATCAGCGATATGGGCCGTGCTCAACCTTGTCTCTTTATGGAGGCAGCTTGACAAGAGAGAGGGGCACGTAGTCCATGCACAACATAAGGTTCCATTGATCATGTTACCCTGAGGCTCTAGTTAGGTCGAAAATTCGTATAACTATTATATCTTCTTAGTGGTATTGATCGTCCTCTGACCTAGCCGAGCTTAGGCCTCATCAACCAGGCTGTGTATACCCTCATTCAGGGTATGTAAAGATAAGCATTCGTAAGTGTGTAGTGGGGAGACAGGGGCTCATTTAGCGCCACTTTGCAAAGATCGACATTACTCAGTTACCTTGTAATATCGTCGCTAGGCTTCCAACATCTGTCAGGGCGGCAGGTAACTGCCGAAGGGACGACGGCAAAACTGTTGTGGTTTTGGGCTATTCCTCTAGTACGTTAGGCATTTGTGGAGCAGCGTGGAGGAAACACAAACTAACAGTGAAGGCGGTAAGATCCGCGTGGTTCCATTTACCAACAATACTACCCCTTCGTGTTTTGGTATAAATAAGTGGGAAGATAGTGAAAACAAGTTGGTTTTTGACAACCTAGGCACTGAATCAAGCCTTTCTACATCTTTTTGCTAGCCATTGTTATTTCCATCCAACATGCTGGAGACTGCGCTCTCAACAGCCTCGCCAGCTTCCACAGGTCTAGCCCTGTTGATGTTGTGCGCGCTGTTCAAACTCTGCCAGGTCATATACCGAGCCAAGCTTCACCCTCTCTCAAAGATTCCCGGACCCCGGTTTCCCACCATGTCTTCTGTCTGGATACGTTGGCAAAGATGGCACGGCCGCCTTTCCTTTAAGGCTGACCATCTACTATCAAACAATGGGCCGATAGTTCGTATAGCACCCAATATGGTGCTCATCAACGACGTGGAGTCTGTGCAGGCACTGTTCTCAAGACTAGACCTCGATACTGCACCGAAATCTATCCGAGCTCTGCGTATCGGTGGCCATGACTGGACTGTCACATATCCAGGGAATCCTGTTGCCCGTCCACGTCGTCGCCCGGTCATGATCGCGACAACTACCAAGGCGATGCGCTATTGGCAGCCAATGTTTGAGAAGAACATTGTGCAGATGGTCAACGATCTGAGTGCATCGCGTGGCAAAAGCTCGGAAGACATCGTCCATCACTTACGCATCGCCACTCTCTTGAATTCTCAGCTTGTCATGGCAGGTCCGCACTCGAACATGGAGCCTGGAGATTTCCCCCATGTCGTGGGCGAGTACAATTTCCTCGTCGTGTGGCGCCTCTGCCTCCCCGAATGGCTCTTTACGTGGCTCAAGGCGAGTCCTTTTAGCCATGCTGCCTTTCGAATTCGGTCCAGTGACCGCTTATTCGAACTGGGCGAGAAGACAGTCGAAGAAGCGGAGAGCTGGTCGGGTAGCGATGAAGTGTCTACTGTATATGAAATGCTTGTGGATAACATGGCGGACCAGCTTTCCAGAGACAGCAAGACTGAAATGAGTGCTGAGATGGCCGGTCAGATTCTCGCTGCGACCGAAACGACCTCCTCAGCTCTCGCTTTCATTTTTTACTATCTTGCCAGCACACCTAGCTTAGTAGAGGCTCTATACACGGAGCTCCAGTCGGTAGAAGGTTTCAATGGCCTAGAGAACCTGAAACTACTCAATGCATGCATCACAGAGGGTCTTCGCTTCCGCCCGCCAGTTGCTCTGACCGGCAGTCGGGTCGTACCACCAGGAGGGTTAAGCATTTTAGGATATTACCTACCAGCCGGAACCGTCGTGACCACACAGTCACTCTCACTCAGTCGACAGAGGCCAGACCTATTCCCCAACTACGATGAGTTCGACCCGTTGCGCTGGCTAGACACCGATGCAGCGGTAGTCACTGAGCGTCGACGTTACCTTGCCCCGTTCGGCTTGGGTGCTCGTCGCTGTCCAGGCGGGAACATGGCATCTTACCAGATGCGTATGATCTTGGCAGCTGTCATCCGCGAATTCCGTCTGTCAGTCGCACCCGAGACTACGCCTTCGTCAATGGCGCCATTCGAAGCAAACGGTTTCCGTTCGCGCCAGGACGCGTGTAGCCTGCTTTTTATCCCACGGGATCTAGACCCCCAACCTGGGCCTAGAGGATGTGAATGTGGACCCAAGTGTGATTGCATTGAGTGCCATTGCGTTCATTATGAAGAGCATTAGCTAAATACCTTTAAAATCCTGGTTTAAATATATTACTTCTTTATAAAAGAGATTCATATGTTTTTTATACTATATATTAACTCAAATAACCAAATTATTGCAAGCACGGGTCTGGTATTTATACGACTACAGTGGCTCATACTAAAGAAACTCCCACGGGATACTCGGCCGCCCAGACACCAACCGCAGTCAATTCGAGTGCCCTCCGCTGATAACAAAGCCTGGTCACGGAATCTTGCCGTCGGTAGTAACGGAAGTGCTCCGCACTGAGCTCTAATCATTGGCTCGTAACTTGATGGCTCCGATGCAGTCCGCAGGGGTATTGAATGTGCATTTCCGCCTTTTTGGCTGTGTTTTGCCCCACTGCGGAATAACTCGATATCGCTTCTTATTGATGAGCTTGAGGCTATCTATCACGTGCCGATAACGATAATTGCAGTACGTACAAATACAGGGTCTTCGCTGTGGGGCTTTGTACCGATTTCACATTTGATATCCCTGAGGGCTGTATCGGGACTAGCTTGCGAAGATCTGCGATCTGCGAAGGGAACCGCCTCTCGCCTCTCACATGAGCTGGATACATCATGATTCTGACTCTAGAAATAGCCTCGATCTGATAGAAAACATTAATACGGCTTGAATTAATGCAAATGAGATAAGGGAATCTAAGTGCTTGAATTCCAGAAGGGAATTCACTAATAGTATTTTTATGTGGATGGTTTACTCTCAACAACGCGGGCACGGGTCCGTTCCGGCTCTTGCAGATTATCGTCGGAACGGTTCCAACAATGAGCTAACGACGTAGGCTAGCGTCCAATAAAAACGAATAATGAGGGGTAAACCTGGGGTTAGTCTCTACTCCAGACTGGCATGTGATGTCCCGAGGAGCTTAAAGATGTCTGCCGCCGTGTCCTGGAGCTTGTAAGTGCCAGATCCCTCGCATTTCACTCTCCCCGACGACCGAGCTACACAGAAATCCTTACAATGACTGAACGTGTGGCAGTTGGACTTCCTACAGGTCCCAGCTCAGGGCCTCTGACAGATGCACAATGGCAGGTTATGATGGCTATTATGGACACCATCATTGCTCCCTGTCCTGAGAGCGCGATACCTGTTGGCCAGAAGGGTGCTCTACTTACCAATTGCGATGACTCTACACTCAAGGCTTTTCTCGACGAAAAACCTTCAGATATGCCACTTTTTCAGGAAATCTTGAAGAGACTGTTGGCCAATCTCCATGCTGATAAACTGTCTGCGATCGGTACAGTATGCTCACTTCTCGGGTAAGCACTCTCTACTTCTGAGTTTTGAGCAGCATGGTTTGCTGATATCGTGATATGACAGGAATCGAGCTGCTGTCCTCCCCCTTACTGGTTACTTCACATTATTCTGTGATCTGTCTCCCCAAGACCGAACATTAGTACTCAACTCTTGGCAAACGAGCTCTCTAGCTACCTTTCGCGTCCTCTTCAAACAACTCTCAATCATCGGAAAGCATGTTTATCTCCGATCAAGTACGCTTTTCAATGAGGTCGTTGGCTTCCCATCCATTCCTACTGGATGGCATCCGGTCGAATCATACCCCTTCGAGTTCATGCAGTTCAACGACTCGGAAACGCATGTTCAACTAGAAACTGATGTTGTAATTGTGGGCTCTGGCTGTGGTGCAGGAGTCGTCGCAAGGACTATGGCCATGGCAGGCCATCGCGTTTTGGTGGTGGATAAAGGACAACATTTTGAAACCTCATCGCTGCCCCTCGACCAAAGCGCAGGATACTTCCACCTTTTCGAGGGGGGAGGTCTAGTATCCTCTGAAGACGGGTCTATCTCTACACTTGCAGGGTCATGCTTTGGTGGAGGCGGAACGGTTAACTGGAGCGCGTGCTTACAGCCCCAGAACACAGTCCGAGATGAGTGGGCAGACCAAAGAGGTCTCAGCTTCTTCAAATCCGCCAAGTTCCAAGAACATCTTGATTCAGTCTGTGAGCGCATGGGCGTCAGCAACGAGCCTATCAACCATAACCACGGAAATAATGTTTTGCTAGAGGGCGGGCGTAGACTTGGATATAGCGCTAAGCAGGTCCCCCAGAACACAGGCCATGGCGAGCATTTGGATGGATATTGTTCCATGGGCTGCTGGAAGGGTCAGAAGCAGGGACCTGTCAATGGGTGGCTGCCAGATGCCGCCAGGTGCGGAGCAAAGTTCATTTCAGGCTTTTACGTCAACAAAGTCCTTTTTAAGAAGCGTGCTGGCAAGAATATCGCCACTGGTGTGACTGGAACCTGGAGGCCAAAAGACGGCTCAGATACCTCGACCAGAGCGCTAACGATCAGCGCGAAGAGAGTTGTGATATCAGCGGGCAGTCTTTGTAGTCCTATCGTCTTGAAGAACAGTGGACTCAAGGTACAAATCAAAGTCTGTACTATGAATACGGGATTGAGATTGCTAATACATCAGGATAGAACAAGCATATCGGACGCAACCTCCATCTACACCCAACATCATTCGTGTCAGCAATATTTGAACAAGAGACACGGCCATGGGAAGGTATGCCACTACTTTCGAGTCTTTGCTATTGAAGCAGGTCAGATGCTAACACATTGCAGGCGGAATTCTCACCTCTGTGGTATCGAGCTTCGATAACGTTGATGGAAATGGCCATGGTGTGAGGCTCGAGCGTCCTGCGATGATGGTATGTCTGTTCAATGACTAACATTTGAAACAAATCTGACCGTGTGACAGCCTTCTATGTGTCTTACATGGTGTAACTGGAAATCAGGGTCTGAATATAAAGCTATGATATCCAAGTACAGACACATGGAAGCATACATTGCTATTACTCGAGATCGTGACAGCGGCCATGTTACAGCAGATCCTATAAATGGCACACCTCGACTGGTCTACACTCCCTCCAAGTTCGATGCCAGCAACAACATGAAGGGCATGCTTGGCTTGGCAAAGATTCTCTATGTACAAGGCGCCTTGGAGATACACCCCATACTTCCCGGTCTTGAGCCATTTATCCGTGAGCCGGAGAGTCTGAAAAATGGTGTTGATAGCTCTTCAGGAGTCACGGATGCGAAGTTTTCACAATGGTTAAAGAAAATGGAAGCTCATGGGAACAAGACACCAGATACGCCTTATGGATCTGCTCACCAGATGGGCACGTGTCGAATGAGCACCAAGGAATCTGACGGCGTTGTGGATGAGTTTGGAAGGGTCTGGGGCTGTGAGAATCTGATCGTCGCGGATGCGAGTGTCTTTCCGAGTGCGAGTGGTGTTAATCCTATGGTCACTACCATGGCGATCTCTGAACACATTGCCTTGGCCATGGCCGAAGAGTTTGCTCGGGATACCCAGGAGCGCCCCAGGTTGTAGTTTACCAATGCACTTCTACGAGATAGTCTACTTGCTGTATAATAGTAAAGTCCGCAGGGCTATCAAATGTGCATTTCCGCGATTTTTAGGTATTTCTTGCCACAACAGAATTAAAAACACCAATAAGATATCATCTACTCAGTATATCTATGGGTATAAAACTGGGCTGACTTTTAAGCAAGTTAGAGCAGATTGGCTACTGATTGAAGTACCGATTTAACATTTAATCCCCCTGAGGGCCGTTCATAGCGTTAGTTCCCTTCGTGCATTCTCTGCTCCGGGTATTGTTTTCCGTTGTCGTCATTCCATCCTGCTCTTGTATAGCTATTACCAAACGAGCTAAATAATCCGCTCATCGTATATGAGATCTTTAAATCTATCGGCGTATAGCAGAGGGAGACAAGGTAGACTTGGGGGGGAAGATAAAACACGGACCCCAAATCGGTAGATCGCCAGCGAATTTTGGTGTAACCGCAGCTGGTCGAGGGCCGTATATTTGGCAGATCACAGCTATCCTGACTTTTACTACTTAGGTATTATACGTATTAGTCTTAGTGTTAAGAGTAATTACTACGTAATTAGATAAAATCTGTAGGGCATATGTAATGTAACCGCAAGGGTCATGACACAAAGGGCTTAGATACATATTCCATCGCGGCATTTAATTCCTCCATCGGGACAATTGGGACGGACAGTCTCTATTCCTATGCCAAGTCTCGAAAACTGGAGCATTATTGTAAGAACTTATTGCATCTCATAAGTGTAGGATCTAAATAAAGAGATATTTATAATCCCCAGTATTGGCATAGCAAGCTAGCTGAATATATATTAATAAAAGAAATCTCATGCCAATGGCTTTATCTATGAGAAGGACTTTTAAGGAGCATACCTGAGTACCAGCATTACATTGACACTGAATAGCGCCTTTTCGGGGATCACATCCTGAACCAGGAATAGCGCAGGCGGCTAATTCCAACTAGTGCAGAGAACTTCATATCTAGTGAATAAAATTTGGATGTCGTTAGGGTAAAAAATAAGAAAGTACAGGAACGAAAGAAGAGGCAATAGCGGGAAGATTATTAGTATTTATACCCGGGGGGGCAGCATCGCGAGCGATTCTGCCCCTCTCTTCGTCCCTCAGAGAAGGGTGCCGTCAGTCAGTCCCACGGGTAGTTAAGTTCGTCGTGGTTTTGAGCATCAACTTCTTGCTGCGGGCTTCGACGTATCAGTCTTTTCGGCAATCCACAGTTAATTCGGCCCCGAACAAGGACCTCAGGCTGAAAAATCTAGAGTATACAATGTGCAATTGTACAGTATCATTAATTAATAGTTGGTGTATTGCAAAGAAAGTCCAGAATATTGAGATATCAAAGGCTGATAAAAGTCGTTTACGACAAGCAGCGGAACATGCTTCGGTTATCCTTCGGGCCCGAGCATACAAATCAGTCCCGGTGACTTTCACTATTGCAGGGATAATACGAGGATGTAAGCTCTTATTTACCTGCATAAGACCCCACTCAAGCTATAGCACATACTGAACTTTTGATGCTTTGTTGATCCTTTCGCATAACCCTGAAGATTAAGAGGCGTGTCTGTAGTTGAGCATCCATTGAACCTACAGTATGCATGTCTCGTTTATCCTCAAACTGGGAGCTTAAATACGGGAATTGAGAAATGATCCCCCGACAATGATGTAGAAGAGGAGGACAAAAAGGGTGCACAGTGTGGCAGGCCTCAGTAGTTAAAAACTTAGATTAGCAGTTAGTTATAGGTCATGGAGATCAGATTCAGATTTCAGTAGACGCCAAGATAAAACTTATTAAGGGACATATACATGTATGATCTATCTCGAAAGACACCATTAGACTCAAGAAAGTAATCCTTTCCGAATGTCTCGCTCCTATTTTACACTTCGTCAGGCTACCAGTTTCTAGAAGGATGATAGGGCAACTGATGAGGAAGCACAACACCCTAGTCAATACAGTATTACATCAATGCCGGAAGAGTCGTCGGACGTGTTGAACCCCCACTAGTCGTTCTGCAAGGTGGCGCGCGTTCTCCCTTTGGCCTCATTCTACAGGCCAGCTTTAACTGAGTTCTTGTGTTTTGAGGATAACCGATATAATTACAGTTACGAAATACCTAATCTGGGAGAATTCATAGCACTGTCAAGAGGGCCCTGCAATACAGTTGCAGCCTATGAATAGCCCGTCTGCCCCCGCCTGAACTGATTGTCTACCTCGTTTATTGACCCTAAGAAGTTAAGTGGCAGCTACATCCCTTTTCGTCGCCATGGCCAATTATCTAGCTCTTGTAGGGTCACACTGACCATCAAGTCACAATAGCAGTATTATGAGCAACATTCCACACCCACCATGCGATACCGCATATGCAGGACTCGAATAGGGTCACATACTCGGCTGGCTAAACAATGCAACAGATCGACGCGGCCTGAGCTCGCTCCAGCCGACTCTATTATGGAGCTTATCACGCCGGCTGAGCCATATGTAAGTCCACGCTGTCAACTTGAAACGTCGGTCCCGAGCGTTATTGATCTGCCCGAGCTTATTGTAGGAAGTAGTCAATCTCAAGAGTATGTACTATAATGGCCATAGCAGATTACACTGGTTCGTAAATTCTTATCCCTATATTGCATGACCACGTTACATTATCGTATAGACATAAATGTATGTTCTCGTATATGCACAATCCTAGGTGCTTCTTGATAAGGGCATGAATCCTTCCCTCGCAGTCACGATTGTTTTGCTGATGAGGAATTATTGATGAGTATAAAAGGAGCTCAATCCTCCTTCTTAAACGATTGATTATCAGTCAGGGACCATACAGTTTGCATTCCAATTTCCTACAATTGCACAGAGAATCCTTATTGCCTTCAATAAAGATGCAATTTCAAAAAATCATCGCTTCGACCTTCTTTCTCACTAGTGGCGTCATAGCCATCGCCCATGATGCACGTATGTTTAGCCATACCCTAATTAATATCTGTCTAGTTTGACTAATGCTCTCATCTTGTCGGCCATCAGAGTCTGCATGCAACAACCATAAGCTTGGTCAGAGCTGTGAGTGGGATGATGGCACGCCGGGAACTGGTCGACACTCTGGTCGTAAGTATCTGCACGACAATCGTTTGCCTAGCATGAGCTGAATTGCCTAGACTGTTGGGAACCGTTCAAGGGTATTCTGATTTGCTCGTAACGAGACACATCAGAAGAGCTTTCTAGACGATTCGGGGTTGGATTGTAACTTGAAGTGGTATTATATATGTGAAGCTTTAGGAATATTCGAATAGAATATGGTGACACCCTCACCGGAGGTGGGGAGGGCGAAAAAGGGCCGAAGGACGTACTATAGGAGACTGGTCCCGCTGGCCTATCCATCATTTAATTAGATCCTTGGTTTCTTGCGGTTCTAGCAGTAGATACTGCTTAAGCTCACTTCCTATTACCGTAGTCTTTGCCGTCTTGCTTATAATCTATTGCTTAGATATGCTAGCTTTGGCTGTTTTCCACTTACACTTAAGGATATTAATTTAACTGTAATTATCTTCTGCTGTCTATCCACAGACGGATTATAGCGGTACCAGCAATTAAAGTAGTCAGACAGCCTAATCTTAATATCCCTTACCTTTATAAGCTGCTTCTTTAATGCCTAGTTTACCACTAAGTAGCTTATATTAAGTAATAAACAGGATAATAGATATAATAAATAATAGTAACTCTTTAAACTTAATATAGTACTTATTAAGCTTTTATTAGATAGTTATAATGGAAAGCCTTAAATAGTATTAATAATCTTTCTTTAAATTATTAAATCCTAATAATATTAATAACTTATTTAATTTATTATTATATTACCTTAATTTGTAACTTAATAGAGAACCTCTTATTTACTTTTATAAATATATATCTATTTTATAATCTTTAAACTTAAGAGAAAGTTATTACTTTTAATTTAATTACCTTTAGGCTAATTTAACCTTAAAGTTACTATTTTTTCTTTTTATATCTTTTAAAGCAATATAATAAAATAACTTTTAATCCTTTAGATATTTCAATAAGTACTTTATATTTAAATAAATATAGATATAAAAGCCCGAACGGTAGGACTGGGTTGAAGAAGTACAGAACCTTCGCCAACCAAAAGGTGCAGTCTCGCTGAGTCCCAGCCATACTAAACTGACAATTCTCTCCTTTAGTGCACTAAAGATGGAGCTCCTTGCTTGTGGCAGAGCGACAAAGGCGTTGATGGTAAGATCACCTGCAAATAGACGATTTGCGTGATTGTTGGTGCAGGACAGGAAGTAACATCGGTGTCTCTTGAGCTATCCTCCTAAGTTTGCTGCTTCCCAATATGGAAAGACTATCGCATCGGGATCAAGTGGGAAACATGTAGTCAAAGCGTTCTGGAGAGATAAATCACCTTCCAAGAGTGTATCCAGCAGTCCGTGTCTTTGGTCTTCTTGCGAATATGCGGTCGAGTGGCCCTCCGCTATGAAGTGTTAGTCACGATATCTATATTGGACTGTCACACTGACCTTGTTGCCGTCCTGTGATTGTTTGGTGCATCTTGGTCAGTAGGTTGAAGGACTTGCGAATGGACAAGCTGAACGAAGAGATGACCTCTAAGACAGAGTGGCATTTGTTAGACGCCTCGATCACGCTCACTTGATCCAGCGTAGCCCATAAGGAGGGACATAGACGGCATGTCATAAGCACCAAGCTGGCAGTGCAAGCATCTACGACCTTGATTAGTCTATGCCTATATGTCTTGACAGAATACGTACATAGGCTATTCCACCACCATGCTTCGGCAGTTTCTGTGCGAAAGGTCTCGTGAACTAAGTTGATGAGCTGTATCGAAGAGCGTACACATGCTCTAGCGCCATCGTGTTTGAAAGATGAGTGTAAGTCATCACTGGCATCCTGAGAAGTGTTCAGAGCTAGGAGCTGACTCAAAATGGGGCGGTACAGCATGACCTGTAGATACGTAAACCTGATGCCGTTTGGTAAGTAATCCCGAAGGGAAGCATCGGTAATATTGAGGATCTTACCGTGACTGTAACACGTTTCTCTGAATCGCGAGAACTTTCGCTTCGTGTGGCGGGATTGTATCTCTAGCTCTAGACTCATGCCAGGAGAGAAAGCTTGGGAGGCCAAGCTCGAAAGCCCGAAGCTTTCCTTGTAGCTCGGCAAAGACGTCCATACTCTGACCACTCATATCTGTCTGAGAACCAGCGCCATGATCGTCGTGAGGCAGCTTGCATTGCCAAGGTCTGTATACTTTTGACAACATGCTATCTAGGATGATACTTAGACGGACAGTCTCTATTTGGAACTGTAGTTTAATATCCTCGTTATCATCGGCGTTCGGAAGGTTGACAATGGTCCTGTCTGGCAAAGAAAGCATGGAGATACTGGTGATCATCGTGGGCCGACCGAAAGTCATGCTCACCAGCCTATATCCGTTAGCGAGCATCAAGGAGGGGTTTCAAGTATCCTTACGTATCTAGCACAATACAGCCGTGCCATGTCCGTCGTCTGATGCGCTGCACTCGCGACTCTTGCTGATTATACGGTGGCAAGCTGTGCAGGCCCAAACCCTGTGCCACTCGACATGCCAAGCCGGTAGTGTTCCAGCACCGATCTGGGAAGGAAGTACCTTGCAAGACTAAAGCAACTAGTACAAGAGTTTGAACAACACTCAGATCATTTATGTCCAGGAGTTCAAGGTTAACCTTATCCTTGGCTCGGCTGAAAAAGACTTCATAAGCCTTCGTCTTGGCTGCCGTAGAAAGGTTTGAGAAAATGCACCCCAACGCGAAGATGGCGTTCAAGGAAGAGAAGAAAGCAACAGTGGTGGCGTCTTCTCCCAAGCCTAAATTCCGATACTCCTCTGGACATGCAGTCTGCCCACTTGGCAACCAAAGCGAGTTGTAGCCATGCTCAAAAGCTTGTTTGTCAAATACTGGATAGATCCAGTATATGCGCTCAAAATATCTCTCTACGAGGTGATCTGCGAGGCGGCGTGGGGGAAGAGCAAACTTGTCGACATCGCCAAAGCGATGTGTAGACTGTGAAGGACAAGTTTGAGGGTTTGGGTGATGATTTGAGGTAGGTATCGCAGTTCCACAAGTCTCTTTTAAGAATGAGGCTGCTGAAGAAGAGCCGTAGAAACCTTCGCGCGTGTCACGGTGATGTCCAATATCCTCTTCGGTCGTAGTTGTGCCCATGGCAGTGACGCGTCTTGCATGGCTTGAATTCTCAATACTTTCAGTTGTTGTAGAAGACAACGGGGTGAGCAGTTGGGCATGGGATATGCCCATGACGAGAGCGTCGAGCTCAGCTTGGTTCTCTGTGTCAGGTGTACTTTCTGGCCACGCCCGTGTATTGCTGGATCCATCCTGAAGCGAGTCCGGGATTGGACCATTCAATGCTGAAGCTTGTTGTAGCTGACGTTCCAGGTCGCGAATCCGATCGTGTAGAGCTCTTGTGTAACTTGAGCCACTTGTCAGTCGCCGCCGAGTTCGCTTACTGAGTTTGTCCTACTCACTCATCACTGCACTCTGTACGTGCATTTCCCGCCCTGTAGACGCACTGTTCAATTCCCAACGCCCGCCGTCGACATGTGGAGCAGATCGGCTTGATCCCGTCGCAGCGAGACTTGCGTTCCCGACAAGGGTCACATGCCAATGTCACTTTGCGGCGACGTTGACGCGATTGTTGCTCTACCATATTCGTATGTATGCAGGTCACTGATATCGGAGATAGCGGAAGGGTGAAGAGTACAATAATGCGCAGTTCGGGTGACCTCCTAGTAATGTTAACGGAACTCAGCTCAGTTGGGGCGGAGGCGGAGAGCGGAAGCTGGCTACTCACCCGTTCCGCACTCCACGGGGTCCGAGCGACTTGTAGATCCCGAGGTTGTGGGTCTATGACTCTGTGAAGTCTAATTTATGCACACGTCGGGATGGTTCCGTCTCGGCTGGAGGCTAGTGGAGTCAAAATAGTCTGTGACAGTGGCATGAGTGATAAAAATACTTGGGTAGAAAAGCCATCATTTCAGCGGTAGATTGCATGCGTTGACTACGGCATTTAAGATTGGTATTGCAGTTTTCTGGCTACCTGATGGTAGGGTAAATTGACTGGAATGACAAGTGCAGCTGTAACACAAGGAATGCACCCGACCTAACGCAGCCATGTTTGTTCCACGGAGACAACCCGACTCACACAGCTGTGGCCCTCACAAGACACAACATGCCTGGGGTGTCATATGGCCCGACGACCTACCCCATGGGGAAATGCAAGGCAAGCACCAACAAACATGTGACAAGTATAAGAATAGGCCACCGTCAATGAGATAAATACCAGTCTTCCCTAATTGCGAGACTCCCAACAACCGCCTCCCTTCCAACATGACGTCAACGAAAGATTCACCATCTGGCTACAGCCAATTTGCTTGCATTGGCGCTGGATTCTCAGGCATTGCCCTCGGAGCCACGCTTAAGCGATGGTACGGAATCACCGACGTTCGTTTCTTCGAACGGCATAGTGACCTCGGTGGAACATGGTATGCGAATAAATATCCCGGTATGTTGATACGACGCTCCCAAAACTATGCGCAGAGCTAAACTCATAGGCGCTGCTTGCGATGTACCAAGTGTCCTTTACAGCTACTCTTTCGAGCCCAATCCCAACTGGTCTCGGGTTCTACCTTCACAAGAGGAGCTTTGGAAGTACCAGAAACACGTTGCGGATAAATATGATCTACCGTCAAAGATGACATTTGGTGTCGAAGTCCAAAGGTGCCAATGGCTCGAAGAAAAGAAGAGATGGGTACTTGACGTTCGTGACTACAAGACTGGAAATATCTTTCATCACGAGTGCAGGTTCCTGTTTGCGGGCTCTGGTATACTGGTTACGCCTCGAGAGATCGACATTCCCGGTTCTGAAAACTTCAAAGGATCCATCTTTCACACATCGCAGTGGAGGAGCGACATTGATGTCAGAGGGAAAAATGTCGTCATCATCGGAAATGGCTGTACAGCTGCCCAAATAGTCCCCTCGATCGTCGACAAGACAAAACACCTGACCCAGATAGTCCGTGCCAAGCACTGGATGCTTCCGCCCATCGATGGCGTGTATACCGACTACATGAAGTCCATCTTCAGGTATCTACCAGGGACTATGATGATACAACGACTTCTGATATTCTTGTTCGCCGAGATTGAATTGAAGGCAGTCCCTATGACTACCTCCGCTGCCCAATTCCGTCAGAAGCGGCGTGCTTATGCAGAGAAGTTCATGCGAGACACTGCGCCGGCCAAGTATCATGACCTCTTGATTCCGGACTTCGAAATCGGTTGCAAGAGACGTATCTACGATTCCGGATACTTAGCATCACTTCACTCCAAGAATCTGACTCTGACCAACGAGCGAGCTCTGGAAATTGTCGAAAACGGAGTCGAGACAGACCGTGGCTTTATCGAAGCTGATGTGATCGTGCTGGCAAATGGCTTCTCCACCAATACATTCCTCGAAGGAGTCGAGATTGTTGGGCGAGATGAAACGTTAACTCAGCATTGGGAGTCATTTGGTGGAGCCGAAGCTTATAATTGCTCTGCTATGAGTGGCTTCCCAAACTTCTTCATGCTTCTAGGTATGTACTTGCATGGCATGCTGTATATAACTAACTGTTGGCTAGGCCCCAATGCAACAACCGGTCACACTTCGGCTATCATGGCCATCGAGAACAGTGTCAACTTCGCACTGCGCATTCTGAAGCCTGTCCTTGACAGCCCCAATGGAGTTGTTGAACTTGACAGAGACGCTGAAGAGCGGTATGTCAATCGCATACAGGATGATTTGTCCAAGACTGTTTGGAACTCAGGGTGCCAAAGCTGGTACATCCAACCACATTCTGAGAACAGCCGAGTATGGAATGCCATGGTATATCCGTATTCCCAGGGATACCTGTGGTATAGAAGCCTGTTTCCTGTTTGGCGCGACTGGAAGATCACAGTAAGTCATGCGTAGTTGACTTGGTAGTCTAATGAATGCTAACATTCTACTCAGGGCCATACTCGTGGTTGTAAATCTGTGTTTTGGCTCTTATTTAAGAGTCTCTCGATTCTTGCAGGGGCGTCAGCTGTTTCTGCTTGTTTATACTTGCTGTGGAAATCACAATGGAATTTCAAGGAGCTTTATGCAAATATTACTGCAGCTCTCCATTCAATATATCTTAAATCTAAGCAAATGTCATAGAGCTTTACAGGCAGAAGTATTAAATACTAAAACCCCCCTAACTAAACCTTAGTTAGCTTACTATTTCAACATCTACTGTATGCAAAATGGTCCACTCTTTTTTTCTGCATGTATAATTATCCTATGTCTAGCAAATAATTTCATAACCGTATTTAGAGTCTGGGTTTAGAGTAGCAGGCAAGGTAACCACTACAAGGATGCGCCCAGCACTGGTAAGTCTTGAGTCCGACAACGAAAATGTACAACAAAAGCATCTTGAACTTTCCATAGGCAGATGGAAGACGGGTCAAACTGAGGCTGGCTTGGACTTGCCAGACTGGAACTGTGCACCAAAGCCGACCAGGATTTCATCCTGCGTTTTCCTTTTTTCCCCTCTTTGAATACCGGGTCTCTCCGGGTGAGAAGGCATTGGAGGCGGTACCGGTCGAGGAGAGCCACCTCGAGCCTCAATGCTCCAGGTCTCGATCTTAGCACTGCCAAGTGATGTTAGTATGCTAGCTTGCCCGAATGACTGCAACGATAGGCAGGAATGGAGGGATGGACGTACGGTTCGGGCATCGCCATGTAAAGTAGCTTAGACAGTAAGGCCAATGATTCTTGTAATGACGGTCAAGGTTGGAGAGAGTGTTGAAGACGTTTGCAAGTCATAGATAATGGGGGTTAGAGGCCAAAGGAGAGGCAAAACGTAGCAGAATCCTATACTTGAGAAGATCTGAGTGGGAGAGGAACCAGATATGGAAAGAAGACTGGGTATTTATGGACGGTAGGCAAAGGCCTTCGATCTCGTAATTACAAAATGAGATGAAAACACCTCGCCGCTGCTTCCAGTCTCATTAGTATGCAGCCAACAGCCCAGACATGTAGAGACCGTTATACGTCTTCCAGGAACATTTCAACCATATCTCCTAAGCTTAGTCGGCAGGCTAGCAGGGAGCAGGCATTGCCAAATGGCCCAAAGGCTGAACCAGCAAGGCATTACGGTCACACTCGGCCCTGGCGTCCATCATCAAGGCATGATAATTGGCCAGCGGAGTTTTGTTCAAAGCCATGAATGGAACTAACTGGTCTCTGTGAAACACTCAATTTTGCACATCCATCGTATCGGTAAAGACGTCACAGAAGCTTTGTCTGAGATGGTCCCTCGTCATGAGTTGACCATCCATGATTGGTCGCTGGCGTTTTGTTCAGTAACCTGCGAGGTGCTCATTGGTCGTCTGCATTTTGTACGCTGTGTCGATCCCTCACTACCAAAAACACGTTGGGGAAGGGCCCTAAACCTCACCGCGAATGCGAATCACATTGACCAGGGTCTTGATTCGTCAATGGTGATACCCTCTCTGTGACTGGTCTGCAGCGTTGTGTACGGCTCCACTGAGGCTCTCTTGCGGGCTGCTTCACGTCATGTGTTGCCTCACATTGGTCTGTGTTACCCAAGAAAAGGGAGAACAGCTTTGTTGGAAGGCGCTGATTGGGCAGCAGCGTTTTGCTCACCAGGTCCCGTGCATTAGTGTTAGACAGACTTCCATGGTGGCAGTACTTGTGGTTCGCCAGGAGTTTGCAGAGGCAACGAGCGCGTTTCAACTTGGGTGAAGCAAGATTTGGACATTTAAACGGCCGCCCATTCCCCATTTTCTCTAATGGCTAACTCCTCATCATCCATCATCGACATCTCACCTTCTAATCCCCACCTCCATACCTGCTCCGAATGCCAGTCATATCCCCGTCTCCCTAGTCGCTGCTTGCTGCCTATCTTAATCACCATGAATCCCATCTTCATGGAACTCCTTCCACAATCAGATGATGAGAAATTCCTTTCCCTCCCTTACGAAGAACGATGGAGCAATCTAGAGCAAGTCATCACCAAGCTTTACACGCGCAAACGTGCAAGCGATGGGCGCACGGCAACCCTGGACCAGGTGGTCCAATTCATGAGGACCTATTACTCATTCCATGCGGCGTACGTATACCTTGATGTTCCCAATCTATACAGGTATTTCTGTTAGGCCTTTTCGAAGCGCCACCAATATTGCACTAGTGTCCGTTTCCTACAAGTCTAACTTACGGTTTTTTATGGTAGCCAAACTGAGTATCGGCGACGTTTCAAAGACTGGGGCGTTACCAAGCGCATGACAACAAAGGTCAAGGACGCCACCACCAGCGCTCTTGTGAAGAGGAAACACCCGGGAGCGAGCGTGTCTGGTGTCACTACCCAACAAAACGGCGAAAGGACGCCTCTCGAGTACAAGGAACTGAAAAGACATTTGATTAGCAGAAAGGCCTGCCTCGATATCACACCTGGCTTGTATATTCTCTCCACCAGTGCACGCCCTCGAATTCCCGCTGATATTTGTCTAGACTTTCCTCATGGAACCTCCCCTACGCTGCTTTGATTTCCTCTTTTCCTCAGAAACCAGAAGCACGCTCACCTTTCGGACCTATTGGGCCAACACCAGATACTTTTCAAATCCAAAGTCCGGAAGCGCTGACACCTGGTCGCGCGGCATCTGGTCCATCACCAAGAATGCAGCTTGTATATGAAAAGCATAAGGAGCATTGCACAAGCCTTTTCCTGCAGGGGCGCCTTGAGCAACTTTTGATTAGTCTTCCCAGAGAAGACCGCAGGTAAGTTGTTGTGACCTTACTCTAGGTCTGAGGGTTATAAAAACTCATCATTGACTTACATCAGCACAATGGTCAACTACTTTCATGACTTCTATATGCACAGCTTTATCCTGGCAAAGAATTGGAGCAAGGAAATTCCGAACCAAACTCCAACACAAGCATTAGGTCTCACGCCGCAAACACGGAACACAAACAGTCCATGGACACCCTCAGCCTTTCTCAATTTTTCTTCCGGGCCCTCTTCGCCCGAAGGGTTGAGTGCGATGGATATATCATTGCCACCGATGCAGCTTTGTAAATGGTCCATTCATGTGTCATCCACATCTTGTCAAATCGACTGCCACATGGGAACGGTTGCTCCACCGGCACATTCGGAGTCAAGCTCATTTGTGAACTGCCTACACCAATCCATGGTCTCGAATGACTTCACCATGACACCGAAAGGAGACCTTCCTCTGGCCCATGACTTGATCACAAGGTCCCTGGAAGAGCACCCAAGCCCTCTCCAGTTAGATGCCTGGAAGTTAGCCATAATGGCAGGAAACATGGACCTTTTGTATCAGCTCTGGGAAGACAATCAAAAAAAGCCACCGGAAGGAATCGAGGCTCTTCATCCCTTCCACCTTGCGGCTGCATTTCTGAATGGCGGAAAAAAGTGCTGTGAAGTATTTTTCGAACTTTCTCGGCTGCTTGGCTCATCCTTTGCCTTCCATCACAATGTTGATGATCATGGAGACACAATCCTTGATGGTATTGTAGTGGCCGTACTTCGCTCTCACACCAGCATTGAACCGGGTGATATAAGAGACGGATTACATTCGCCCAATCGATTCCCCGGAGAAGAAAATGATATTTGTGGTAGATGGGACGCAGAAACTCCAACTATCCGTGAGCTTTTTAAACAAGGATACTCTCGGATCCCCACGAAGTGGAAGCACCCCTTCTGTCACACAGCCGTGCAAGCTGTTTGTCACAGCATCACTACCATCTTTGCCTCGCCTGCCTCACCAAACATCAACACACAGAGTGGGTTGTTCCTGCGACGTTGTACAGCTTGTGGTCTAGAGCTCAGGCTCAGGCCCCTCCATACGATCGTTGTTACAGCGTTTTACCTGGCACAGATGGGAAGGCCTGGAGAAACCTTGTTTGGAGCAGTTGCAATGGTGGTATGTCTTATCACTCTTGGAGCGGACGTTTCGTTGAAGGCAAATATATCAGTCGAGGAGATATTGAGGTCTTCAAACACTGGCCAGTGCCGTCACACGCAACTTTCACCACTTGATCTGATTGAGGCCGTCCCTGGTGATGTCATTGAAGCTTGGAGTGAAAGTTGTCGAGTTGGCTGGGGTTGTCTCGCTGATGTCTTGGCTCTTACTATGTTGCAGCAGGACCAAGAGAGAAGCGGCCATCCTCAAGGACCGGCGAGTCCACTACGGGACGAATGGCCAGACACTCCGAGATCAATCTTCAGCGAGTCCTCGGATCATGACTCGTGTTGGGGGGGGTTCCAAGATGAATATCACGATTACTGGCTCAAGCTGCCATGCAACGGCCCACGAATTGGTCTTCTCTGGGCCTCGATTCAGACTGAGCTACTCACATACCGCAGGGTCAGGGAAGGAGATGCCTGGATATCCGACAACTTTTCCATGAAGGCACTCAAGACTTGGCTCGAAGAAGACGACACAGAGCTTTCAATGCCGCTCGTTCAGAACTCGATGTTTAAGGTGCATACACGTTGTGGATGGTTCGGTGGAGCCTCAGATTTCCTCTGCCCCACCGCCGAGGATGTCTGCACCAAGTACTTCATGAACATGGACATCTATAGTAGGTCATCATTCATCATGCAACCTGATCTACTTGGGTCTTTTGAGAGTCTAGAACCAGTAGAACAGAAGAAAGTGTAAAGTGATGGGTAAGGACGTGGACTCGGTAGGCAAGAGGAGAATCTTCGATTTGGAGCTTGGGACATACTGCAACAAATATATTATATTATTTAATAATGCTTAAATATCCTATTTGAAATTAAACTGCAATCTCAGAACGACTGTTCCAGGCGTAAATCTATGGATCTTACTTCTTAATAGTGAGTAATAAAGCTTTTTCAACAGCAGGACTTGTTGGTAAGATAACTGTCTTGGAGAATATAACACTCTAACCCAAAGCTGTCAGCCTTTCCTCTGGTACTGGACTAAAAATAAGATGAGTCTCGTTGGCTGATACGCTGTAGTAGATGTTTGAGCGCAGGCATTGGCTTCCCTTCAGCAACTCCCTGTGAGATACACCGCTCAATGTGCATACGATCCTGCTCTATAACCTTTCCTCCATGATGATATCGGTTAAAAGCGTGGTAATCCAGAGGGCGAAGCTTCTCGTCGAGATATGCAGACATCTGGACGAACGTATTCTCCGTCGTAGAGAGGGCCGCCTGAGTCCCTGCCTCTCCGCATATATCAAGCGTCTGGATCTCCTTTGCTGCCGCTGTCGTCAACCTCCACACTTCCGATTCAGTACCGATGTCTTCGGTCTTGGGCCAACCCAGAACTTCAAGCCCGATAAAAATGGCAAATAGGGGAAATATGGTTAGAGCGGACTGTGCCGGCGACCATACAACGCAATTGGAGACTCCGCAAGAATTATAAAGCTCCGAAAAGCTGCTCGAAATCGAGGGAACGTAATCATCCAGGATGAAACCATTGCCGATGTTATCTATGTATGCCACATCGGACTTCTTTACCAATTCAACATCAGCCGGCGGGTAGACTGGGAGGCTCGTGGTCTTGCCAGAATATGCTGGGAAACCCAGGCCACCGCTGGTGACCTAATCGCCTGGTAGACCAGATTTCTCTAGAAACCAATCTCTGGCACCCAAGAAGACACTGCCGATAATAACTTTGGTAGTTTGATCACGGGCTACCTGGCCAATTATCTTGACAAGGGTTTCACCCTCCTCGCTTTGCACGGACTTTCCGTCCAGCGTGATAAGAATGTAATCGTAGGTTGCGGCGAGTATCGAGGATGGGCTCGTCAAATAAGAGTAACTTGTGAATTCATGGAGATGATTCTTGTCAAACGAGTATAGGAACTGAGGTCGGTTAAGCGTCTCGGCACGCTTTGGGCGAACAAGGTACGTGACCTGGGCGCCGGCAAGGCTAAAGTAGTAGCCCGTGACGAGCCCCACTGAGCCGGCGCCGACGATGAGAACTGAGGGGCTCTGCAGATGAGTCATTCTATGACGGGAAAATGAGAGACTGAGACAATAAGAGACAATGGATAAATATCAATTGAGATAGAAGCAATATATATATGTAAAGGTAAACAGGCTTGGCCGCTCTAGTTGCGGGCTTTCAGTCCCTGGCTGCGGAGTTTGATAGTTTAGCGGCGGTATTGCTCCTATACGCGCGAACATAAATATAGAAACCAAAGCCACCATCTGTGTAAGGCTATACGCGTATTAATAATTGTTCTTAAGGAGCTCAATTAATAAGCACCTATACTTATGCAAAGAAAATAGCTATATCGCAAATAGGCAGGCGCCTGTAGTAATATTCGGCAATAAGAGGTCAAGGCAACCTGACTTACTACCAGGGAGCAGGCATTACTAAACAGGTTTAAGAATAAATAAGTAAAGTATTACAATTACATAGGCCCTAGCTTTCATCTTTAAAGCATGTTGATTAATTAGTGAGGTTTTATTCCAAATTGTGCGTGAAATTATTTAGCTTCCGCAAGACACTTGACTCTGCATGCTTAGCCCTCTACTTCTCCTTTTTGCCTTTTGTAGATACACTGGAAGAGGATGTAACTGAACCAGAGGTCATTAATTTTTAAAACACCTTCTTTTCTTTCCCCGTTGGGGAGCCAATGTCTTTCACGTTGACGTTGAACTGTAACGACGACAGTTGGCTTGCAGCTCCTCTCTTACTCGCTCCGGCATTGAAGCTCACTGATGAAATGGTCTCCCAATCCTCGTGATGCTTTGCACCAATTGGTTGACTTGATCTGTCTCCGCTACGAATCCTCCTTCATGTTCTCCACATAGTTGGAATCAAGGAACTTTGGCTCGCCATCCTCATGAAAGTGCCGCAGTCCATACTCGACCATAATGATGCCACAAACTGTGCGTGCATAAATCTGTAAGTTGCTACGCACCGCCTCCTCCTCCGCCGGCTTCAGCTTCTTGTAGCTTGCCATCTGAGCGTGGTAGCCTCTGCTGGGCTCGTTGAAGAAAAGTTCATCCCAGCGGTCATTCTATTTCCCAAGGGTGGTGCCATTGGCGGTGCCGCCAACAGTGCAAATGCGATGGACCTCGTCCATCAGTGACAGGGTGGAATTGTCCACGCCGATACCAATCTTGCTGAACTAAGCCCCATATTCCTGTGGGCAACCGTGGTGTGGCTGCGTGAGCTCCCAAGTCACAAGTAACAAGTTACACATACTTAACCCCTTTTCGTTATGGACGCTTCTGTAGCTTGGATGGGTGCCGTATCTGTCGTGGCATCGCGCTTCCCATGGATCTTTTTATTTTTTTAGATCTCAATCCATATAGTTCGTTGTAATCTTCAGGGTTCAGAGAAAACCAGGAGGGCCACCAATCATGTCAATGGGGAGAGATGCCGACCACGTCTTCGGGGAGGGCCGCCGATTTGACCATCGGGGGATGTATGCCGACAAAGTTCCCAATGAGGGTGGTCAATAGTGTCGACGAAAGAGGTAAAGTCTACGGGGATGCCGATATAGTTCAACAGCTAGAACCTTTAGTATGCCCCACAGATCAACGAGGTCTGTGCCCAAGAATATAACGGTTTGAACGTACGCTTTCGGTCCAAAAGAGCCTCAGTCAAGCTTTAAATTAGAATTGATTGATGGTTGTACAGATCATGCCTGTTATTCAGTTCAATATATCTACTTCCTAATACCCAATATATTAAAGAAATTGCATCCCAAGAATCTGTAAACCTATAGACAATTAAAACCCCTCTTTTTCTTATGCCCTTTGTTGAAGAACTGCATGCGTTGCGAAAGCGTTCTCTGACAGTCATTAATGGCGTTAAACCTTCTGTTATTGGCTTCGTGTGATGCAATAGTGTCTAACGACATCTTGTTCAGTAGTGGTCTCCAATAAAATGACGCATACATACCCTTGTACTCATCGACCCTTATTTGTAGCTGGGTTGATTGTTGTTTCCAGTGGTCACACTCCGATAGCAGCTCTTTAACATTAGCCTGTAAGTCAGTCACTGCTTCTTCCAGTGCTAATATAAGTTCTCGTTCGGCTTGTAGCTGCTTCCTCAGCACCTGGTTCACCTGTGCTTCATCTTGTGGTAGACGCTCCTTGGCACCTTGATAGGATTTATGTTTTTGTTCTGATTCGGACTTGTAACCCTCACTCCTTCTGTTATCTGAACGCACTGAGGTTGATGACGAAGGGCTGGACTGTGCATCGCAGTTAATAAGCGCCTAGTCTATCAGGAAGATCACGGCTACGTACCTGATATGAGAATCTGTCTGACGGTGATAGGGAATTTGTTGATGCCGTGTGTTTTGAACTCCTTTGATCCAGGCTAAATGTGGACTTTACTGAATTTGGGAAGATCTTGTAGGCTTGCCCTCTGCGGTCTATAAGCTTAGTGCCGAGCTTTTCAATCTGGCGGCTCATGCGGGCTTCCTTTTTCTTCAAATCTTCTATAGTCTCCCTCAGGGTCAATACCAACGCCGAGTCATCAGGTGTTATTTGAACACTGTGACGCTCACGAAATAAGCCCGAGATGATGACCCCTTGCGACTTTATCTCATCTTTTGCAGCGACTAGTTAAGCTTTGATGACTTTGTGTTTTTCTGACTCGTTTTCAATCTTCTCCGTCGCATAGGTGAGCCACTGGTCGAAGAGCTCCATCAGTTCGGGTTTATCCGTGAGACTGCAGCGACTAAAGGTGCGCAGGCAGGCGAGAGCGCTCGTTGCGTCTGTCAGCTCAGAAAAGACCTTACAACCCCCAGATCTTCAGTTATCTAAATGCAAATTATCCGTCGTTAGAAGTCGACGCGAGGTAGCTGAAGAAGATTGGCAACGTACCCCATTCTCTTGTCTGTCCTTGGATAGATGTATATCGCGGTCTCGTACTGGCAATATTCTTGCCTCTTAAACCATTTCGGGCCCTCAAATTCCTGATCGATACTTGGCCTGGATTGACCATGGAAGCTTTTATTGCTGTCCTATACAGCGGCGCCCTGTTGCTCTCGGACCCAACAACCTCGTCTTGCTGCCTTTCTGAGTTTTGCAATGCCTTTCGTCTTTCTGTAGGTGCCAGCACAGATGTATTTGTTATTTCTTGATGGCCAAAGATCCCAAAGTCGTGTCCTCTCGCAAGCCGGAAAAGAAAAGACGTAGGATCAAATGCACTATTCACTGTGATGGTCGGAAGCTCACAGCTGCTTTTACTTGATTAATGTCGGACAAGCTGTTCATGATTGCCTGATCGAGTAACGTTTTCGACTATCCATCTATGTCAGACCCCTCCATTTGTGACAGTTAAATGCCATGATGGCGCAGTCACCAGGCTTACCAAGGTGAACATCTCTCCAGTTCAGTACATAGTCAAGGAAGATGAAGACTCCGGCGGAGTCAGAGGTATGAGCCTCTACATTTGAAGAAACCTCACTGTGCCAGGTCCTGCTGCATTGCCGATGTAAAGGATACAATCTTCGGTCTTTTGTAGGGGAAATCCCGACAAGACTTAGCGACATACTGATTGTTGAGGTGTATTGGTGTCTGGACAAAATAAGGCTGTTGATCGGTGCACAGAACTGAGAGAGCACAGAGAGTGATACCGGCCATCGCGACGTAATATCTGCTTTCTAGAGTCCAGAAGTACAACTTCTTATCAATAGGCATTTATGTCATTGAGGCTATATGTAGGACGTGGAGAGTCTGAGTTCCGGAACCAAATTATGAAATTTCTCTACATACGCAAGATCAGCCCGTTATCAAATCTCATCCAGCCAGTCATTCCGATTCTATGAGCCACGATACTGAAGAATGTAGTCACAGGAACGAGGTAAAGCGCGGCAAGTTACGCCAGGTATTTGGTCAAAATCGACTGCACATAACACAGTAATTGAGGTCTCAACACCGTCTCTTAAAGGCTCAGCTATTGATTGGCGGGAAAGGGTTTTGCATCGCCCCATGGTGGCTGGCTGAGTGCTCAAGTTAGTAGAGAACCTAGTGGGTCTGCCTGACCTAGCCTGTTTAGATCGCGTATTCACATTGCGCCAGTCAGTTCTCTCTCCTGATTTTAGCTCCCAGCCACAAATCTCGACTGCAACAACACCATGACGATGCCTCGTGCCAAGGAATTATCGCCATCTTTACGGTTTCGCATTTTCGAACTACGACGCGCCAGCTGTAGGTAAAGAACTTATGCACGTAGAACTGACTCACCCCAGCGATACAGTCAGACAGACTATGTCTTAGTCTTGACAGTAATGGAAGCTTCCGACAGTCTTGGAGAAAGAATGTTACAAAATCTCTGTAACACAATGCCGAACAGAGTACCCGAACAGAGTACGGGGTCAGCGCTGTGACTGTAGATGAAGGCCATGGAACTTTTGTCGAGATGGAGTGACACGAAAGCCTATCAGGGGTGCAGATAGGTGTTCCCCAAGGACCCCAACACGCATTATTGAAGCTTGCTGCATAGCCATTTATCTCTGAACATTTCCCAATTAAGATTAGTTCCTAGAAGAGGTGATACGCGTCTGTTCTGGATTGATATCGACGCGTAACCGTAAAAACTTATTGAACCCCTCGGAAAGGGAACCCAGATATTGATGATAACCTCCTCTAATAATGATCAGGCCTACCGAGGTGTGAGAATTCGGCTGCGAAGGTGGACAGTCTTAATCCTGCTAATCGAGAGTCTGGGCAAGGAGTATATTGCCCATGTGTGTTTATTGGTGCTCTATCATCGTGCCTCGGAGCTGTAACCTCCTTTGGCCTCTCAATCTTGTCACAGTTGCTACTCGAGGTCAAGATCAGCGAACAGCAGTTGCAATGGCACCCTATACAGCAATAACATCCCAGATGAGAGCGAGCTGTACCGCGTAGTCCCAAGGAATGAGCTGTGAATGACAAATCCTGAGACCCCGTCGCTACGAAGTCTAGCGTCACTTAACGTATGCAGCAAACTTCATTCAGCTACACTAGATACTTAAACTGTTGTCCTGTGGAAATTATTCAATTTCAAACATCGCTTGCAGAGGGGTTCACGGATCTTACCTTGAAGATGGCATAGTCTACTTCTAACTGCTCAGTCATTTGGCGCTTCTAGCTGGCTAGTCAATCAGCAGTCTGAGCGTCTTTTATGTCTACGGAATGCAAGAGCTTCGAATATTAGGTGAGCACAAGCATCATTGAATGAGTCTCCCTTGGCACAGGAAGTTGTTGCGTAGCCGGGATGGATGTTGCCGAACTTGCCGATGTGCATGGATATTACCCCGTACTAAGCTAGTTTGCCACCCTGACAGCGCTCCCACTGACAGCGCTCCCCCAGATGGAGCGTGAAGTCTCCTTGCTGGAATTAGTACAGTACTGTTTATCTTGGCATTTTGTATGTTACAGTACGATGTTGCCTCTACAAAATCCGACTGAATGGCAGTTAACACAGTAGTTCAGTATGGTAATAGGAGTGTGAGTCAGTGGTATAGGTTTCATAAGAGCGGAAGTCCCAACTAAACTTCTCTACAACATGGCCAAGGAATCAAGTCGGTGGCTATCCGGAATGGATGGTCACATCTGAGCTAGCGGTGTTCTAATAAACAGATAAGTAACAGCTAACCCTGCAAGAGGGACAAGAGTTCGAGCTAGAGGAGAGCAGATCACAATGGTCCTCGTGTTAGCACCACAGAAGGAATTGATCTTCTCAGACCCTCATCTTGTCAAAGCCATACCGTAATATAACGTATTAATGCTCGTATATCTACCCGCCCTTGTGGTAACCCATGCAAGCCCCAGCTAAGAGTCGCAAATTTTAATTCCCTCAAAGATAACGCCGGAAGCGATGGGCAGATGAGATTCATTCCGCGTTCCAAAGGGATACCATACGTGCTTCTGATGGCAACATGTGCACTAAGTCCCAAGAGCGACTCTTAGAAAGAGGTTTGTCTTCGACATGACTCCTGACTCGGATTTCCGGTGGCTGTTTGCAGTAGCCAGATAACGGCATTGGAAGTCTGCGTTAGTTAACTTTGCATCAAGTGTAAAAGAGTCGCAAGAGCACTTGGCGTTGGCAAGATTAGGAGCGGTACAACTGACGCGACAGCGGCTTTCAAGCTCACCCATCGCGTGAGGGTGTTTTGCACGGCTAAGATATGTGAACTGGCCGCCCTTGCGTCCAAAATAGCAGCCCGTGGGGAGCCGCCTCAAGCTAGCAGCACCGACTGCGATATTCACAGCAATTCAGATCCTCAAGCTACGCCAATATGAGTTTTCGCATGCACATGTCACTGTTCTCACACACAGTGAAGATGGCGGAACGGCGATTCGCGGAATCATTTAAAGAGCTGCCTTAAGTATCAAGGTGTCATCAATACCGTGTTGTAGAGCCTCGATTACTATTGATCCTAGTAATGCCATATCACTCCCAATCACCAAAACTCTCAAAAGAGAAGCCCACATACTAGGGCTGTGCAACTCGGATATCTGTGATACTATGGTCTGAATAGTTATTGGTATCCCAAAAAACCAACTGAATGAGTTTCAGAGTACCATTGTGTTTGTGTCCTCTAAAAACCAAGCCAACAATTCCTCCTTTCCTGTCAACGACAGCAGATCCTGAGTCTCCATGGAAACGGAACTTCCCTGGTAATTCTGGTCTGATAATCAGCTCTGTCGATTTGTTCTGTAAATCGTCACCAAGATGTTCATCATCGATCAGTCTGACATCCTGCTTCTCGCCAAAGATGTCCCCAATGGTCGCTTGGGTGACAGTTCCGAATTTGTAAATGTGGCCCAGGTCTTCTTGTTCCTCCATTGAGTGCAATGGATCTGTGATTGGCTGGTTGTAGATGCGCCATGGCTTGTCATCGTCAACTAGAAAAGTCCAAGCTTCCTCCTTTGGAAGGGAATTAGACCATGGTCGGGAGTTGTCAGGGGAGACTAAAGCCCAATCCATCCTTCGCCCGATGGATTGGCGTGGGAAGCCTGAGCACAAAAAGACCTTGCCAACTGCCTGTTTGCCATTGTCAAAGAAAGCTTTCTTTCGTCGCACCTCAGCCCTCAAAGTTGGGATTCTGGAGCGCCGTCCTGAGATGTTGCTGGTTATTTGTGGACTGAAACATGTTCTGCTAGTAGGTTGTTTGATCTTCTAGACCGAAAATAGCATCTTCGAGCATGGTTAGTAAAGTTGTCCTTCGTACGAGATGGGCTTTACATGCCATGGACCTGGCACTTGAGGTTGTCTTTGTTGCTCGTTGACAAGAGGGTCCTAAAATAAACTTGGTAAAGAGTCCCCTAAGCTTAGGCTAGGGCACCCTAAACTCAGCAAAGACTCTCCTAACTTTAGGCTAAATTGCCTACGTCTTTCGCCACTTAGGGTAAAGGGCCTGGGCTTTCCCCCTTCCTCTGACGCGCTGTATGCCATTCCTGACTACTATCAATGTGCCGGATGACAACACAGGGCTGATGGCTGGTAAATTACAAAGTGTAGTGGGATTTGACCATGTCTGTGAGCTGATGAATGGATCGCATTTTCTATTACAAGGGCGCGTCATGTAAGTATCACATTGCACTCAAAGTGAAGCAATTTAATAGGAGTAGTAAGAAGTTCTTCAAGTTGCTATGTGACCCAGTAAGAATACTACCCATAGATATGTGTCTCTAAAATGACTTCTGCATAGCTTGCTTTTCCTATGGAAAGCCCCCTATTAAATGACGTGACATCCCATGCCAAAGTGATCCTGATGGGTCCATAGAGTACTCCTTCCTCCTGCCTTATGAACTCGACAGTTAATGATAGTAACATCAAGTTTATCTTGATCTTGTAGGATCGAGATGTCTTGCAGGGGATCGCCACCGACAAGTATGCAGTCGGCATAGTATCCAGGCTGGATCTTACCGAGCTCATGTCCCCTCATCATCAGCGTAGCAATTCCAGCAGTTGCAGCGATGATGCTCTCGTGCGAAGTGGGACCAAGCAACTTCACGAATTTATCAAGATCACGCGCATTTGTTCCGTGAGCCGTCCACGCAAAACCGTAGTCACTGTTGAAGTTAATACTGTAATTGAGGAAGAACAGCGCAATGGCTTACACTCCTGGTAGAACGACAATTCCTCGTCTGTGCATCACTCGCAGTCCAGCAACAGCAGCGTCGAGCTCCCGCTTATATCCTGCTTTCTCTGCGGTTTTGTGTGCGTATCCAAAGGCCCAGGCTTCGTATGTTGTGGCTACCAGCCAGTTGATTGTGGGACAACGATGTATTTCTCTCGCTCGTGTTCTAACATGTCCATGCCTACAAAAGTTAGCGGAAAAGGCGACACTGCTAGATACAGCGATAGGATATATTGGCTCGTTTGGGCTTAGCTAAACATTTTTAATCACGTCAGTCACGGTTCAGCTGGAGTACGTTATATGCCGGAAAAGGACTGCGCAAATAGCTAAGGTCAGGGGAACGATTACCACAACCTAAGCGATGTAGACGTAAGCTCACCTTGTAAGACCTCGGCGATTGCATCAGCGTCAGTTGATGCGGGATGACTTCCCACCCAACTAATCAGCGACTAAAACTACCACAAACCATGATCACAGTAAGAATCCTTAATCAGTTCGATTCTAGCTGGAATATGATGAAATTTGACAAGATTCATGTAAAAGGAGTAGAAGCTCACTATCATAAGGCCAGAGTTGACATAAAGTTATGTTTATTAAACTCGGAAGGTGTTTCTCTCTTCAAACTCTTGAACAAAATCTTTAACCCTAGACCCAATCCTATTAAGCATATTAACCTCTATGTCTGCATTCGCGCCGTTTTCCAACATCATTAATGCGTCTGCATAAGCTTTCCATTCCTGGCTATTCCCAAAGTCAATTGCCACGGTCGGCTTCCTGCTCTGCGGTCGAAGGATAGATTTCCTATACTCCTCTGTCTGCAGCTGGAATAGTCTAAGGCAGGGACATGAAACTATTCTGGCTTTCAAACCATACTTCCTTATGAGAAACTCTTGTGTGCCCATTGCATAGTGAATACCAACGCCGGCGGATATGAGGGTCAAGTCAAAGTCCTCGTCGTGACATTTGGAGAACGTGTAAGCTCCATTTGTCACACCTAGACGAGACGAGTGACCAGGAAAGCTTATGTCACCTTTCAGAGGCAATGAAATAGTTGTTGTTATCTTGGTTGATCTGGTGGACACGAGAAAGGCGCCTGCAGCTTCTTCGGCGTCGCAGGGGCGAATGTGAAAGGTTTCGGGCTTTGTCCTCCCTGGCCTCGAACGCCTGTCTGGCTGCTGTGAAAAGTCATCCCTCCTGGAGGATCTGCGTTCTCTTCTTCGGGACCACTGCTCAACTGGTAAGGAAGATATTGGTAGAGGTATCGGGCTAGTAAGTGCAGGTTGGTGATGAGTGATGGTTGCTGCCCTGCCGGCAACGTGGTACCAGAACTCCCGGGCGAGCGCCGGGTACAGTTCTCGATATTTCTTTACCCTCGCCAGCCACTCGGCCTTGTATATATTGCTCTTCTTGGATACATCTAGGAAGGTATCGTAAAGCTCTTGCGGGAGGTAGAGTGGAGCGTTATTGTTGAGATGAGAGTCTACTTCGTGTGACAGGGAGCGATTCGGCAATTGCATGCTGACCAGCGTCGGCGCATTGCTTCTTCTTGAGTCATTGAGGGCCGTACACAGGGCTTTGGTTGTATTAGAGCAGGCCGGCTATCGCGGGAAGCAGACTGGCTGAACTCACCGATGATATTGAGGCTTTCATCACTCATCAGTTCGAGTACATTCCAGCCATGCGTCTTGAAGTTATCAACTTCAAGGTTTTCGCTCATTGTATCATACGTGCCATCGTAAATAACACAAAGATTACTAAGCTTCCAACTGCCGGCAAGAGCCACTGCATTTAGGGCACTGCCCTGCTCAAACTTGAGATCATCGATAACACACCAAATCATGTTGTCTAGAAGCTTCAGGCCTGACTTGTTATAGAGCATCGCAAGATTATTCAATGCAATTGCCTGGCCTATAGCACTCGAGATTGTTTGATGTGAGTGACAAGGAAGCGTTGTGTTTCTGGGAAGGACGCTGGCAACATCTAGAGGGTCGACGGCGATGCCCTTTGCTGCAATGAGATGCTCAAACAAGTGTTTCCATCTGCCAGCATAATCTGTAGGCAGGCATGTGAGTTAGTAAAGAGAACCGCTACCAAGACGCCAGGAGCGAAACCTACGCCCTGACACGACTAAACGATCCCGGTTAAAGTAGTGACTGTTATCTGGTGCAAATCTCATCACATACTTAAACAGAGCGGTCCCAATAGAAGCCTTCAGCCTGGAGGATCTGCACGAGTAATCGGATAAATGTCATTCAAGCTATTACTTTTGCGATAGAACTTACTCATACCCTTCATTGTTCAATTGCGAGATGAGCCCAATGAGCAGCTTCAAGGATCTATCGAGCTTTTGAAGCTCATGAGAGGAACTACCAGTGGCTCGAGAGTCACGCGAGGCTTCAGCTGGAGTGGGATGCAACATGGAGTTCAGCTCGGAAATCAAGAAGATCGTGGGTGGGTGTAAAAAGGAGCAGTCAAGAGTAGACTGTTAATCTGGTGGTCTGCTTGTCCTATCCATGATCTATCTATCCATTATACGGCCTCTTGTATCGCTCGTTCATGAAACCAGTTTAGTTCATATGGTTGCCAGCCTCGTCACCTGTCACCTTTTGGCCTCAAACTTCCAATGCTCGCACTACATTCGCGAGTTCCACGCGCAAATTCAATTGATCAAGGCACAAAAGTAAGTGGGGGACCTCGCTTCGAGGTGGGCTCGCAACGAGGCTGGTCCTCAAGTGAGCTCTTAGTAATGACTGACCAGGGATGGTGAGGTACTCATCGGGGGCTAAATCTGGAGCCGGGGTCGTACGATGGCAACCATCAAAGGTTGGCCGCACTTTTCCCCTTCGTAAGCTCTGATATGATCCTTTTGGAGCAGTTTCAATTAATTGACGTTGTTCGGCTCTGAGATGTGTGACGTTGCCATGATTGACGAGGACATAGCAGAGGGTATTGCGGGGGTCACGGTATTGGCTTTAATGATCAAGTCTCACAGCGTGCATGCCGAGTGGGAAGAATTAGGACACAATCTGACTCAGACGCGGGTGCAATGCCTGTAGTCATTATTGCCGTGCGTGAAAAATAACAACCAAATCCCTCTTCTATGATTTCCCGCTACTTCCACAAATATCCATCCACCGCTCAACCTCGGCTTGGAGTACAGCCATACCGCCATCCACGAGCTGCATCAGTGGCTCTTGGGCATGCTCTCTGACATACGTATTCCAACTCTCTAGTATAAGCTTATTGATGTTTAATTTAACTGCACCGTTCTGAATGCATCGTTGCATGATCTTAGGCGTAAAGTCGTTTGTGCCGTGGAGCGCCATTATCACGCGACTGTTGACCTGGGTGTTGACGCTGGATAAACGATCAAAATCGAGTTGAGGACCCGCTGGGCCGTAGTCGCCGTGTATGTTACCTATGCTCGGCGCAAGAAGGTCGATTTCGGCAGCTAGAAAGTCTTCGACCTCTCTAGGCGTGGTGAACAGTGCTTATGATAAATCATCAGTTATCCAGCTTCCTCGTGTAGGCATTGGCTTGGTGTCGCTTTACTTACCCTCCAGAGATCCCGTGTCGGCAATACCTTCTTCTCCCCCATTGATGCGCCCACTTTCAGCCTCAACAGCAATGCCGTGACCATGGCAAATCCTCGTCAAAACCTTTGTCTTTTCTAAGTTCTCATCGTGGTCATAATGGCTCATATCCACCATAATCGAATCAAACGGCAGAGTTGCAGCAATTTCTTGGATCTGCGCTTCGTCCTGCGCATGGTCTAGATGCAGCGACAGTGGTACTGTTGCTGACTTGACTGCTGCTGCTGCTGCCCATGCCAAAGTCGGGAGCTGTTTGACGGTTGAAGGGAAGAGCAAAAGAATGAGAGGTGACCTCTTGGCTTCGGCAGCGCGTACTAGCGCTGTCAGGTGCTCGATGTTGTAGCTGAACAATTAAGTCGTGCGTGAGAATAGTTCGTTTCAGTCGGAATAAGAATTACCCACCAAATCACGGCCAAGACACCATACCTGCCCTCGGCCGCTGAGCGGAGGATTTGCAGGGTGCGGTTCTGCTTCTGAGCCTTCAGCCAGGAATCCATTTCAGCTGTTTCTTCCTGCTCACGGATAAATGGAAGAGGGAGTAGATACCGAAATTCTCCCATTACTTTTTAATATGACACTCACGGGGATCAAGACCCTGGGCTTCCGTACTGCCTGTCCTCGATACGTGCTAGCGTAAGCCGAGGGTGGGGCTGTCCTCGAGACGAGAGCACCATCACCTCGAAGCGAGGTCATTTCCTTTCACGCTGCTCATGCTACCTTCTCGCACACGTATACCGCAACAGAAAGTCCTATTGGAACTGAATTCGGGATCGTCTCGAAGGACGTGAGTTTGGTCGCCAACGACACAACTGTAGCTCACCTTGGTTAAACAATGATCGTGTTACAATGTCCAAGTATATCTAAGCTGGCAGCTGGCGATGATTTTCCAGCTCCAAATTCACAACATCATCTCAATATCATCTAACAACGACTCCCACTCACCGATACACCATGGCTCCAACGCTAGAACTCAACGAGAGGGCTGCTGTTGACAAGATCTTTGTCAAGTCCCTCGCCAAAAGTGGCAGCACTAGCACTACTGGCCTCAAACTTGAGAGCCCAGAGAAACACGACAGGGTGCTGAAGGTGTTTAGAGCGTTCATCGCGGACCTTTGCCAGCAGTTCAATGGTGGACACCCAGGGTAAGTGATGGCTTTGGTTTCATCCTGGTCACAGCACTGACTCTTCAGGTCGGCTATGGGTATGGCAGCCATTGGCATTGCCCTGTACAAGTACGTCATGAGGTACTCTCCCAACAATTGCGAGTACTTTAACCGTGACCGCTTTGTTCTGTCCAATGGTACGTCATATCCACAAACTCACAGAGGCGCTCTGACCAAGACCAAGGTCATGCTTGTCTCTGGCAATATCTGTTCATGCACCTTGTCGGTGTCAAGACTATGACCCTCGACCAGCTCAAGTCATATCACTCCACAAGGACCGATTCCCTCTGCCCCGGCCATCCAGAAATCGAAAATGAGGGCGTTGAGGTTACCACTGGCCCCCTCGGCCAAGGAGTTGCTAACGCAGTTGGTCTCGCCATGGCAACCAAGAACCTAGCCGCGACATATAACAAACCAGAGTTCGAGCTAGTGAACAACATGACGTGGTGCATGATTGGTGATGCTTGCCTCCAAGAGGGTGTTGGGCTAGAGGCAGTCTCCCTCGCTGGCCATTGGAGACTGAACAACCTTTGCATTATTTACGACAATAACTCGATTACCTGTGATGGCACTGCTGATGTTGCCAATACTGAGGACATCAATGCAAAGATGAAGGCTACGGGATGGAATGTCCTGGATGTCTTTGACGGAGATTCAGATGTGGCTGGTATGTTCACACGTGTCCCCCTTGAATACCCTTCAACTCATGATATTCAGGCATCGTCAACGCCCTCATCGCGGCCCGATCAAGTGACAAACCGACCTTTATCAACATTCGCACAACTATCGGCTTTGGATCTACTGCAGCTGGTAACGCAAAGACACACGGAGCAGCCCTCGGGGCCGACGACGTGGCCAACATCAAGAAGTCATTCGGCCTAGACTCAAATGAGCATTTTCACATCCCACAAGATGTCTATGACCTGTTCGCAGATGTTCGTGTTCGTGGTGATGCTTATGAGGACGAGTGGCTTCAGATCGTTCAGAGATATAAGCAAGAGGATCCTGTCCTTGGAACGGAATTCGGCCTTCGTGTCTCTGGAAAGATGCCGGATGACTGGACGAAGTGCATCCCCAGCAGGTCAGAGCTTCCAATTGAGCCCACGTCATCGCGAAAGTCTGCAGGTATTGTAACCAATATCCTTGGAGAGAGGATCAAGTCCTTTTTAGTCGGAACCGCGGACCTAACTCCTTCGTGCCATGTGGCATTCAACAACAAAGTCGACTTCCAATCGGTGAGTGCAGAAAAAGGATAGAGAGTCTTGAGAAGAATTACTAACGCACATGTAGCCTGATCTGCAAACCGCCTGCGGTCTCAACGGAAACTACAGTGGCCGCTATATCCACTACGGTATCCGCGAGCACGCCATGTGTGCCATCTCCAACGGCCTAGCCGCATTTAACAAAGGCACCTTCATCCCCATGACAAGTTCATTCTTCATGTTCTATCTGTATGCCGCCCCAGCGGTTCGAATGGCAGCCCTCCAGGGACTCCAGCAAATTCATATCGCTACCCACGATAGCATTGGAACCGGCGAGGATGGACCGACGCATCAGCCAATCGCCCTACCAGCTCTATACCGTGCCATGCCTAATACCCTGTACATTCGTCCGTGTGACTCTGAGGAGGTGGCGGGTGCTTTCATCGCTGCGATCCAGGCCACTGAGACACCGACCATCATCTCTCTGTCACGACAGAACCTGACACAGTTCCCGCAACACTCTTCACGGGACGGCGTGAGCATGGGCGCATATGTCTTTGTCGAGGCCGAGGATGACGACTTTGACGTGACGCTGATTGGAGTTGGTTCCGAGATGGGTCTCACGATGCAGGCTAAGGATGTGCTTCTCAAGGAGCACGGGATCAAGTCAAGAGTGGTTTCCTTCCCCTGTCCTAGACTTTTTGAGCAACAATCGCGACAGTACAAGCAGTCAGTGCTAAAGCCTCGCTCTGGAAAGCCTACCGTCGTCATTGAGGCATATGCCGCGAATGGATGGGAACGGTACGCTGACGCATCCATGTCCATGAGGCGATTTGGAAAGAGCCTTCCATCCAAGGCGACTTACGAATACTTTGGATTCCAGCCTCATAATATTGCAGCTAAGATCAGGGATCTGGTAAAAGAGGTTAAGAAAGATGGGATTGAGATACTGAGGGGTGATTTTAGAGATCTCAATGGCAGCTTGGGAGTCGGATTTGAGCATTAAGAGTTGGTCACTATTGTTTGTTATCCTGCTTGATTATTTCACTTGTGTACTTAAAAACAAAAATAGCAAAGTATTTGAAGTCTTCCTTTGACTCTGGCGGTCCTATTGCGCTAAACTATAAAGGTGCAAGCGGGTAACAAGGAATCAGATCATAATCTTGTTAGAGTGAGACTCTTCGCAGAATGGGATCTCGTAATATACGTTCTGATCCATATTTAAGGTAGCAGTGATTTAAAGACTCGCTAAGGATGCAGTAGCCGTTTCTCAGGCTTCTTCTCTGGGGTCGAGCCCTAACCCTCCGTTACCCGTTGCAACCATGCTTGGCCAATACCCAAACATCGAAAGTTGATAGGGAAGAAATTTGAATGAACTTCTCATTCCATTTGAATTACAAGGCAGTCTAGGCAGTAATCCTAGGGACGGCGGGATGCTTAGTTTCTGGATCTCCATCCATGCTATGATCGAATTTGGTTTACGTTAGTGGAGAAATGCGGGGGAACTTCAACGTTATGCCTAACTCATCTCAAGTCTTGTGAATAAATGGAGCTGATGCCCTCGAGACGAGACCCAGACAATTTGCCATGATCCATCGTTTGTCAATGGATACAAACAACAACTCCAGACGATTTCGCCGCCATAGGCCGTCCAGGGCTCGCGGTTTGAGAACTTCAACCGGTTGGTAGGTGTTCATTTACTTACTGCCACTCAACTAGCTAACCTTGGCCTTAATACCGCTGACACTACCCTACAGTCTCACGTGTAGAAGAAGACGCGTCAAGTGTGACGAAGGCAAACCCAGCTGTATCCAGTGTTCCAAATCCGCTCGAGAATGCACTTATGGGCAGCCTCAACGTGGACTTGTGCAAGCGGATCAGGACACCTCCGAAGCAGTCGACGTTCGTGGCGATGCAATCCCTGGAGCATCCTGTCCAGAAAACAGCGAAACCGGTGGCCTAAGCGCTGCTCACCAAACATGTGATGCTGAGAATGAACGACCCAACATTGAGGGAACAGCCAGCTACCAGAATGACTTCCAAGTCCTAGTCGAACCTTCTGTCACATTCCAGCTCCACGACTCCGGCGACACTCCCCAAGACGACCAGTCAGAGAAAACTAGTGATGGAATTTTACCCAATATAGACTTTGACCTTGCTGCGTCTCCGTTAGCTAGGAACCAAGTATCGCTACTCAACATCTCGCCCTTCGAATGGTACGACCTCCTAGCGCAGGATGCCATCTCTGAAATCCAACGGTTAAACAATGCTTCAAATGGCGAACCACGATGGAACTTTGATGAGAGCACACTCTCCCGTCGGCAGTCACCCGTCCCGAGATCTATCGACACCGATTCCTATACACAAGACCGTTACGGTAGCGGTCTCGGAGTGTCCGTGGTTGATAATGACGCGGCCGACAAACCATGGAACACCCTGGAGAGCATCCAGCTCTTGCCAGCCGACCTTCGCTTCTTTCGTTACTACACTGAGATCGTTGGACCGATACTCGATCTATTTGATCAAGCGCGTCATTTTACCAATGTCGTACCTCACCTCGCGCTACGCAACTCGGGGCTATTGAAGGCAATACTTGCAGTCGCAGCCAAACACATGTCTCTTGGCGTAAAATTAGGGCAGCCACAGAGTCATGGCGGAACCTCGAGCGAAGGTAGCTCATCGTCGCCAGAGGGAACTACAGGCAGTAGCCAACAAGCAGAACAGAGTCAAATACCTGCGCACATGGCCACCCAGTACTACTACGAGACCCTCCAGTATCTTTCGCAGACTCTACTCTATCCGTCGTATGCAGAATCCCATGAAATACTCGCCACGGCCATAATGATCAGCACATATGAAATGTTTGACGCTGGTGGGACTTCGACAAGCGGCAACTGGGAACGCCACTTACGAGGTGCTTTCTGGATCCAACGTTCTCAAGACAACGATGGCGAGTCGGTTGACGGATTGAGACGAGCTGTGTGGTGGGCGTGGCTTAGACAAGATATATGGGCAGCGTTCCGAGCGGGGAGGCCGACCCTTACTATCTGGCGCCCTAAGAAGAGACTCGAAGATCTCGATTCTGACGAGCTTGCTACGAGAATGGTCTACATATGTGCCAAGTGCGTCGAGTTTGCAGCTCTGGACAAGACCTCGCCTAGCCAAGATATACAACAGAAGATTGAGCATGGTGATAGACTTCTTCAAGCCCTCGAAAATTGGTATCGTGTCCTTCCTCCCTCGTACAAGCCAGTGATGGTCACGACGGAACCCAACACCATAAACCAGGCATCCTCAACCTCCGAGTCTCAGACAAGGTTCCAGCCCATATGGTTTCACCCGCCCAACCACGCCGGCGCCATGCAGATGTATCACTTTTCCAAGGCCATCGTACTGCTGAACCAGCCTTCAACCGGCGGCCTCAACGCATACCGTCAACGTCAAAAAGCCCTTAACGAAAGCCTCCACATGGTTTGCAGCATCGCAAATGCCTGCCAAAGGGGCGAGCCTGCAATGGCCTTTGTCAATGTCCAGGCTATATTTGCTGGTAAGCGGCACATCCCTGTTATGAATCGTTGACTGACCGGTCTAGTCGGCCAGTGCGTGCAGATGCCAGAGAAGCAGGCTGCACTCCTTGATACTTTGGATAGGATGTTGGAGATTAGCAAGTTCCCCGCAGCAGGGCTAGTAGCCGATCTTAAGCGCACGTGGCAAGAATAATATGCCGTTCTACGACTACTGTAAAGCCGACTTGAGGGTGTTCTTGTCCAAGCTGGTTACATCTGCAACTTCAAACAGAGATTCCGATAAATCTGGTTAAACGGGGGAAATTGGTCCATCTCACTCTTTTATTGTTACCGCGCATGAATCTAGATCTATCAATGGGCCCTAGTTCTAACCTCTCACCATGCCCCGACAATTCCAGCAACCGGGATATCAATGCCAGTCGTATATGAAGCCCCGTCAGATAGTAAGTACACATATGCGCCCCCAAGTTCCTTCGGATCAGCCAGCCTCGGCATACCACCATAATACTGCATCTTAAGATCCCAATCAGGCGCCTGGTCTACAAAGTAAGTCATAGCCGTCTTAACAAAGCCGGGCGAGATAGAATTAACTCGGATGCCGTGTTTAGCCCACTCCATGGCTAGCGTATGTGCCATATTACGTACAGCGCCCTTGGTGGCTCCGTACGGGGCCGAGGGCGCTGCGCGGTTTGGACGGTACGAGGTCATGGATGCTGTGAAGACGATGGAGCCTTTGATGCCTAGTTCAATGAACCTTCGTGCGACAGTCGTAGCACAGAAGTATGCACCGAACACATTGAGGTTGAACAGCTTATCCAGCTGGGTGCGGTCGAAATCGAGTGCCGGCTGATGTTTCGTCATGCCGGCGTTAGCGACGAGGCCATGGATGGCGCCCCGCTTGGAGATGACAGCATCTATAGCTGATGTAATGCTCTCCTCTGAGGTGACATCGCAGTGTATGTAGCCGAGTCGCTTCGGGTTCGCGGCCTGAAGGGCGAGAAACTCGTCCCCGGGCTCGAAAAGATCCAGGCTAAAGACGGCGGCGGCTTCGTTGGCTAGACAGACCTCTGCGATGCCTAGACCAATGCCCCTGTTGGCACCGGTGATGGCGATGACCTTGTCCTTCAATGTTACTCTCCAGTGGTGATCAGGGCCTGGCTGGGTGCTTAGAAATGTCGGTGAGGCCTCGGTAGCTGCGTCTGGTATTGATGCTGGGATTGCAGCAGTGGCGCCATTGGCAGGGACAATGGAGGGAGTATCGAGCGCGCTTGGAGACATTGTAAAGATCGTGCTTGGGAGTAAATGATTTACTTGAGGCTTATTAAATTGTATCCAAGTGATAAAAAATAGTCTTTGTTGTTCGAGTGGCAAGACGGTGGTAAATAGATCTCTCTCAAGTAGTTGAAATGTTACGCGTCTTGTTCTTATGCCTAGAATAGAATGGAAGCCTTGCCACGGGATAGATGTATCGTCCCGATGGAGGTAGTCTCGAAACACTTTGCATGCGTAATGCGAGGTCACCGAGACGAGGTAACAGGGTTACATTCGTTGCGGAGCCTCGACATGTGTGATCCTCGTAACGAAGCCATCCATGTTCGCTTCGAGGGTAGCCATCGCCTCGACGTCATGCGTCCCCCGTCTCCATCACTTCCGTAACAAGATTAGACTTCTCCGTACCCCATGGGGAACTAGTCTCCCATCCCCGCACAGTCGATGGACCTTCTCAACGGCCATGTCCGTTGCTGGGGTCAAACGCAACTTTTGTTCTATGCTGTGTTCTATAAGTCTGCCAATTGCCACCACGACTCTCACTTTGATCCCATGCAATCAACCACCCAAACACTGGAAACCAACTTTATTGAGGATCATTTTTGCGGCATTTAGGTTTCCACGATCGTTTCAAACCCGGGAACATGACAGCATCCAAGACTAGTACCGAGGCTGTTGACCAGAAAGAGTTTCTCGAAGGCCCCAGTCAAGTCGCCGAGCATGTCGAAACAACGCAATCCATCACCTGGACCGCGGAAGAGGAGAAGAAACTTGTCCGTAAGATCGACATGTTTCTCCTGCCGAATATTTGGCTCATGTACTTGCTCTCTTACATGGACCGAACCAAGTGAGTCGACCTTATGTAACAACATGAGTGGCTCTAATCATGTTCTAGTATCGGAAACGCTAAGATTGCCGGCATGGCTGATGATCTTAAACTCACCTCGTCCCAGTACAGTATTATTCTAGTCGTCTTCTTCGGTAAGTCTCTTGCTCGTCACTCCAGGACTAATCAGCTAACATTGTCAGTTGGTTATGTTATCTTCGAACCACCGTCCAACATGATCTTGGTTCGGACCCGACCGTCTCTATACCTTCCTGCCATCATGATTATCTGGGGCGTGCTCACATGCATCATGTCTGTCGTCCAGAGCTACCACCATCTCATCATTCTCCGGGTCTTTGTCGGTGTAATGGAATCAGGCTTCGCCCCGGGCATCCTACTTATATTTTCGTCATGGTATAAGCGAACGGAGCAGTCAAAGCGATTTGCCGTCTTCATGTCAGCCGCTATCTTGTCCGGGGCCTTTGGTGGTCTTCTTGCGGGCGCCATTACCGGCGGCCTCGAAGGCGCCCATGGGATTCGGGGATGGCGCTGGCTTTTCATCGTCGAGGGCGTGGCCACTATTGGTTGGGCCATCATTGCCGCGTTCTTGCTCCTTGACTTCCCAGCCAATACCAAGCACCTAACAGACCGTGAACGAGCGATCGCGATTGCTAGACTCCAGGAGGATAGCGTTACCGTAAGGGGCCAGGGCGAAAAGGTCGGCAAGATACAGTCGCTTGTCCTTGCGTTGCGAGATTGGCGGACTTGGGGTTTCATCTTTGGCTACATGGTATGCTTTTGCACTGGTAATACTTTGGCCATTGAAACGTACTGACTCTATTCAGGTCATTGTCGGTTCCTCAACCCTTTCTTACTTTTACCCCACCTTAGTCCACGGCCTTGGCTACAGCAGCACTGTTCAAGCGCAATACATGACAGTAAGAGGACATCCAACGGCCGAGCCAAAGTTGAGGGCAAGCTAACCAGTCTTAAATTAGGTTCCAATTTACGCTGTTGCATTCGTGTGTACCGCCATCAGCGGCTACTTCGCCGACAGGATCTCAAACTACCGCGGTCTCATCATCGCCGGATGGCTCAGCTTCTCAATGATAACATCGATTGCTGTTTGTGTTGTCTATAATTTCACCGCTCGGTATGCGCTACTTGTTCTCATGGCTGCAGGACTGTGGGCATCTAATGCCATATCACTGAGCTTTGCAGCCTCAACATTTGGGTCTATGGACGCCGAGGTCCGAGCTGTCGCGCTAGCGCTCATGAACGCTCTGGGTAACCTTGCACAAATCTATGGCGCCTACCTGTTCCCCTCTAATGATGCACCGAAGTATCTTATGGGCTTTGGCGTTATTTCCGGTATGCTCGGCTTTGGAGTTTGCGTTTACATTGTTATGCATGTTCTTGTCCGACGATTGAAGCCATGAGTAAAGGATACAGTGCACTATGGCTTTCAACGCCCACATAGGAGCTAGTGATATGATATATAGTTGAATGGACAACTATATCGAATAGATCATAAGAAATAAGAAGAAGCCTATAGCATATAACGTTTGTGTATTGATGAAGACAAGGAGTTTCTCGGTGAACAGAAGCTATCGTGTAGGAAATTTCTGAGCTCTGCAGAACCAGCCGAGAGAGGAGATGTTTTTTCTCTACACGTTCTATCACTATCATAGTGGCCAATTCGAACGCTTCCAACCCATGACAGCATTTCCACATTGTTTCCTACTTATCTGGGACTGGGGCATGGCCTAGAGTTACCTTGACCAAACTCAGCTCAGTCACTGGATTCTTACCACCTGATTCCGTAGAAACCTTGGAATTTCCAGTCTCAACGCTGTCAATAACAGGATGTTGCCGAACGCGCTTGTAAGCATTAAACCAAGAACCTTTGAACAGGTAGTCGATCTCTTCAACGCTGAGGCCCGAGATCTCTGGAACCATAAAGAAAACGTATATCAATGCAAGAAAGCACCAACCAGCAAAGAAGAGAAATGCTCCCCAGTTATTAGTTGTCTTAAGGAGCGAAGGAATACTATATTTGACGGCATAAATGAAGAGCCAGTGGAAGGTTTGGCTAACAGCTCCACCGAAAGAGCGAAGACGGTTGGGCCAGAGCTCTCCTCCAAAGATGTAAGGAAGAACAAATAAACCTATGGCGCACGGTCAGTCACTTTCATCCTATGAATTCCAATTAGGGAGATTGATTGGGGAACGTACCGACCGCATACCCAAAAGCGTGGAAGAAAACAGCGGCAATAGCGGCTTGAGATGCAGAGGAGGATACAGGACCTTCCTGATGGTACTTGATGAAGACTCCGATGTACACATGTGAGATAAGTTGCAGTGTTATACCGATGAAGAGAGATCGGCGTCTTCCAAGGGCATCAATAAAGAAGAACGACGCAATCAGACTGAATATGAACTTGGAGAAGCCATACATGCCACTCAAGAACATGCTCTCGGATGTGCCTCCTCCTATGCCCATGATGCTCATAATGGGGATAAAGTATGATGTGACTGAGTTCGCACCTGAGAGTTGAGCCAGCGCGTAGGAAAGCAGAGCTTGTTGGAGGCGACGTAGGTTGGAAGGAACAGTAAACGTCTCCTTGACTATTCCGACGAAGCTGGATCCGATTCCAGTGACAGAATCTTCGATGTCCTTGATTTCCTTCTGTAGTCGAGGGTGGTTCGCTGGCAGACGTCGTAGGTCTACCAGGACAGCCGCAGCTTCTTCTCGCTTACCAACCATTATGAGCCACCGGGGAGATTCACTAACAAAGAAGCTTGCGACAATAGCCAACGCCATAAAAACAGCCGGTGAGAACCAGACTATCTGGTATTGCAGCTTGCTGGAGGGCATATGCAAGAAGATTCCATATACGGAGAAAATTGAGGTGAATAGAGCGACCCCCATTACTACTGTGTACCAAGCTGTGAGCAGGCCTCGAATCTCGCTGGGTGCGAGTTCGACGATTGACATCGGCCCAGTAACACTCAGGGACCCGATGCCGATACCGGAAATAATTCGTGCTGTAAACAAGGCAGGCCAGCCAGGCGCGAGAGTCGCGATGACTTGGCCTACGATCCAGACGGCCGTGTACAAACGAAACGACCAGCGACGGCCTATGCGGTCGTTGATGAAAAAGGATAGGGCCGCACCAATGGCATACCCGATGTAGATAATCGAGATGAAGTTTTGGATATCATCGGCTTTGGCACCTGATTCAATGTGGAATTGCTTTTGGAAGCCGGGGAGCGATGGAACAACAGAAGATGATCCCTGGTCCCAGGCTTGATGTTGTTAGCCTCATCAACATGTAAGAAACGCTTCAAGACGGTACAACTCACTTGTCGGAAGGCCAGCCAGAGCATAGACTGCACAGGAGAAGAGAAGAGTTGGGTTGACGATTAGATCCCGTGGAGTTGCCTTTATGGTTCGAACATATTTTGCGAGAACTGACTCGGTAAGGATCTTGGTGATGGCCATGACTTGCTACGTATGAGACGATACTAATGAGGTGATTGGGGAAAATGGAATGGAGATTCCGGGCATCATGAAGGCCTATTATAGCCTGCTACTTTCCATCGTTATCTCGTCAATCTAAAACTACAGCTTGTTGCTTGTATGACAATCGGATCGGCAAGCAGCCGCTACCTGATAAGCTCAAGACTACCCTGCCGAGGAAGACCCGGAAGAATACGAGCGCCAATCGGAAGCAACTAAAATAGCTCGAAATGTACACCTCGTCCGGAAACGTCCGGATTAGCATTGAGACCCAACTTCGATCATCCTCCCCTCCTCAAATGCTAGACTGAACACATTCAGTACAACAAACCCAGCTTAGGTTGAGATGCAGCAAATTGGAAACAGAAGCCGGCGAACTGGGCCCTTCAGGCGACGCCGCGTCCCTGGCAGTAGAGCACACCAGGCTTGCATTCACTGCAAAGATAAGAAACTCAAGGTATGGCTGACTTCGGTTGCGTTGGTGATAGTTATAGTGATACTGAAATGCTATAGTGCGATGATAGAACCCCTTCTTGTGGTAATTGCGAGCGGCTGGGCATAAGTGAGCCATTCCACAGGACCAAGCGATGATAGAGCAGCTAACTAGATGATGGCAACAGCTTGCCTAGTCCTGGACCCACAGACCAAAAGATCACGACC